GGTTTGTTGTCGTTGTTATTGTCGTTGTTATTGTCTCCGAAAAGCGTCAGTGAAGGACGCCGTATAACTATAATTTTGTTGTTGTCGTCGTTGTTTGAAGGGGCGGTGTATAAGGGCAAGTTGTTGTTTGTCCTTCTGTCCCATCCTCAACACACTCTGTGAGACCCCAGAATCTTAGTTGACAAATGCTGTCATGTTACCAGCATCAGACTCTTGTCATTCATATCTGTAATACTCACTTATGGTGAAAATATTCCACCCCCCACCCCCCCCACACACACACATACCAATTACAGCGTTATAGAGGAGACGTAGAGAGGAGGGTGGCTGAGGCCAGGACGTTGGGACCTATATTATAAGATTCCTTGATTCTGTAAAGAGAGAAGAGGGTACGGTGGGGGTCAGGAAGAATGAGATCAAATGGGCCGAGTTGTTGTGAAGCTCTTTATGACGTTCATTTGACGTGAAACGGCTGATAGAAATGCAAATTGCAGACATCCGTCTCTCCCGGTCCAGTGTACCTACGGTCACCTCCCCCCCCCACCACCGGCTCCGCCACTCTCGAGCTCTCTGGGTCGCTTCCCTGCGTGAGGGGCGCTGTGTGAACACAAATTGTTGTTGTTGTAACTTGGGGTAAAAAAAATGAAAAAAGGGGATTTTCCCTGTAAGGTTAACGGATGAGAGAGCTGAACAGAAAGAGAGAGTGGGAGTGAGAAAGACTCTCTTTGTAAGTACGTAGTTAATTTGTCAGTAAACCCGTCCCCTGTGACCAGCGATGTCCTGGTTTGAGTGCAGCGAAAAAGCAATGGTTCATCTGTCAACGTTGGAACATCTGTGGCTTTTATCTACAGGCCGACAGTTTTCACGATGAAAGTCTATCACAGCTCTTCCTTAAAGAGGAAGGGAATCTCTCGGAGATTCCCAACAAGCCTATGTTGGTGCTAAGTTAAGCGCTCCGAGACATCGCCCGGCGTGAAAAGGCGCTACATAAACTTAAATTGTTGTTGTAGTAGTTTCTGGAATTATCTCCTCTAACCCAATTCCCCCGCGCTCTCCTCATCGTGTCTGTGCTGGTGCTCGCTCCTCCACTGGGAGCTCTCTATTTTAAGTCCATTCTCTTTGCTCTTTCCCCGTGTCCTGGTATTTGTCTCTCTTCAGATATTTGTGCAGTTCCCCGTTTGGAGTTGTTGTGATTTTAGCTTCAACAGTCACTTGTGGCAAAGTGTCTCGCGGGCTAATCTAACAACTCTCTGCCTGAAAATATTTCTGCCAACCTCCTGCTTGCTTATCACTCCACTAACAATCCCAAATCAATGCTCCGTGTTACTGATTGAGCAACCAGTGGGAATAATTGCTGACTGCTCATCCTTTCAGCCATGACATTTGTTATACTTGCCAAAGTGAAATGAAATGATCAGGTTGTCCGAATAATTCGCGTACGTTTGTTGTAATTACATAACAATAATAGCAACTGTATGAAAATGAGTTAATATAGCAGCTGTAAGGTCAAAACTTCTCGCAGCGCTTCACAGGTAGAAGCCCTCAAGTGTGGTGAACGTAGCCAGTTGGTGAACACAGCAGCAATTTTTTCCACCGGCCACCACCATTACTTAGTGCGCTTGCTTCGCAAGTGAGAGAACCCGGGTTCAATTCCCGGGCGGGGCGAAACCTTAAGCAAGTTTCCTTCCTCCATGTGCTTTTGTTTACCGAGCAGTAAATAGGAACCGGGCTGTTAGTAGATGGACTTACTTTCCAGGGGTAATAATCCCTAAAAAATAAATAAATAGGTTTAGTCGCACAATCCACGACTGTCTGTGGGACACCGCTGTGTGCAATTGGATGCCGCGTTTCACCCAGAAAATAACCGATCAATCTACTTTACAATTTATTCTGTGAAGCGCCGTGAGGCGTCTCAATGATGCGATCAGGTGCTATATCAAATGCAAGGGTTATTATTATATACAGAAAATATATTATTATACCCCCACCCACCCAGTGCCGGGCTGGAGCATCAGCCTCGATTGTGAGCTCAAAGTCCCATTATAGAGGCTTGAAGCCACATCATTCTGAGCAAGAGGTGAGAGCATTGGGCGACTGAGCCAGAGGTGGCACAGATTGCAATGTCTCAGCTGGAGCCGGGAGCTAAACACTGATGTCATTGATAGGAAGCTGACCCCAGGGGCAGCGGTCAGTAAATGGACAATGTCAGAGTCATGTGGGAATTCACCCACCGGCAGTGCATCCCATCTGTATTTGCCTGAATATTGACCGTGTCGGCCAGAGGATTCTCTGGTGCTTTATTGCACCCTCCCTCGGCTTCTTCAAGGCCCACCTCAAGACCTTCCTCTTCAACCAACCGCGCTTTCGGTCACCTTCCTACCCCTCCCCTTCCAGCCCTTCACCCCTCCCTGATCCCAACCCCCAGCTCGGGTCCAATTCCTTGGCTGTCCAGCACCTTGGGACGTGTGAATGTTGTCCTTACAAATCTGTTTGCCTTGCCGTAAGTAGGAACCCGCTTGTTAGTCAGTTTACGGATTGCTTTTCCAGGGGCAATAATACTTTCAAAAAAATAGTAACTTGGTCATTCAATAGCACGACTGTTTGCGGGACTCTGTTGTGTGCAGTTGACTGCTGCTAATTACTATAATGAATGGAGAAGGTGCTGTATCAAAAGCAAGGATTATTATTATTTATTTATTATTATAAAATTTGTTGTTGTTATATGATTTGTTGTTGTTGTTCGTGGGGGGGGGGAGAGGTGGGAATGCTGTGCATTGTCAGGGAAACCACTTACAAACCGAGTTCTCGACTACCAGTTCAGATGGTCGATAAAAATTCCTGTAATCTAAGATCTTCCGGACGGATTAATTTACCGCCTCGTGGGAGCAATTACTGTGAATCTCATTGAGATGTTTTGATGTGATAAGCTGCTATAAAAATGAAAGTTTGTTCCTTTTCTAGGTTTATTTCCGCTCAGTCCCACCCCCCCCCCCCCTTCTTCTTCTGAAGACACCGACTGGTGATGAACTACTCACACAGGCTGCCTAATTGGTCGTTCTTCATAAATCAGCCCAAGGCAGAGGCTGACAAAAGCCTCCTTGACCCCTGGAGTCTCGCAATTGAGTCTGAGCTCTTATTTAACACCCACTTGGCTCATCAAAGTGGGAGGGGAGAGTAGCTTTCAAGAGTGGAATCTCTGGTTGATTCCCCACCGCCCCCCAAGCTCCTGAAGCTAAATACTGCACCTGATAGCACATACGCAAATTGGCAAGACCCAGGGCTCGAGGACCCCAGAGTGTGCTAATTCCTGGAGTCTAACCAGCTAAAACTGCGCAGCTTGCCATTGAGACATTTATATTTATATCCATCCTTTGGAACTCCATCCCACAGTCCCTTCGCCTTGCTCCCTCCCTCGCCTCCTTCAAGAGACGTTTCAAGACCCTCCTCTTCGACCGCACCTTGGGTCACCCTCCTACACCCGCCCTCCGCCAGTCCTGATCCCAATCCCCTGCTCGGGTGCAAATCCTTGACTGTCCAGCGCTTTGGGACATCCTCCTGATGTGAAAGGAGCTGTGCAGATGTCATTTGTTGTTGTCAATGATATCGCATCTCTGTGACTCCCGCGATGTGAGAGCGAACCAGTGTGTTACAGACCAAGCTGCCTGAACGTACTTATCTCCACTCAAATGATATCCTTGTTGTGTCTCTTCCAGGTTGCCTGAAACCCGACTCCTCTGCCTTCCAGTGCCTAGTTGCCCCTTTTTCCTCGTTGTTCGTTTTTTTGTGGCTGGTGGAGCTTGTGCCCCGGCTCCTCCGTCGACCGCCCCCCCCAGGTCCGAGCTCTCCCCACCCCCACAAAGCTCAGGGGGTTCATCTCCAATGCACCCCGTAACCCCGAGGTCCTCACGGGCACCAGGAAAAAGAGAGACGGTGGTGGCGACCCAAGGGAGCGGAAGAAAATGGGGTGAGTCTGTCTATTAAAAATCTAAAGCCATTTGGATTATCTTTGGTGAGTGGGCAAATTCTCATCTGGTTTGTGTATCACAGCCAATTACACACACATACACACACACGAGAGGTGAAAGTGTGTGTGTGCATGTAAATGATGTCCCCACGTGAGGCAAAGTAGGACGTCTGTGTCAGCATCGATCAACAAGGCATTGGATAGTTATTTTGCGGAGAAATAACTGTCTACCCAGGAGTACCCACTTGATAGTCGATTGGTGGATCGCTTTTCGGGGACAATAAATTTGGTCACACAATCCACGAGGGACACTGCTGTGGGCAATTGGCTACCGAGTTTCACTCACAAAATACACAGTAAATCCACTTTACAGTATATTCTGTGAAGCGTTTTGAGACGTCTCAAGGACGTGATAAGGCGCTATATCAAATGCCAGTATTATTATTATTATATACATTAAATCATGGCAACTATAGGAAAGGATGAGACAGTTGATGGAGCTATTCACTCTAATCCCATTCCTGGCTCTTTCCCTCATTGTATCTGTGCTGGTGCGAGCTCCTCAGACTGATCTATCCACTCTCATCCCAACCTGTCCCTGGTCTTTCCCTGTATCCTATTGCGTAGTGGTTAGAGAGCTCGCCTCGTAAGCGAGAGGACCCGGGTTCGATTCCCAGGTGTAAACTTCGGCAAGTTTCCTTACTCCACACACCTCAGTTTAACTAGCTGTAGGTAGGAACCTGGTTGTTAGTTGATTGGCGAATGACTTTCCGGGGGTAAGGAAAGAAAAAAAAATATTTCCTTGTATCCTGTTGTACCTCTTTGGTCATCCAGTTTCATTCAATTGTCGCCCCAACCATTCTCGCCCAGGAGTGTTGGCTTGAGGAGCATTGGTGTGTGGTTGGGAGGGGGAGATGTGGAGAGACGTCAGTTATCAGTTAGCTGTCAGATAGTTAACACTCTTTCTGTTCTCGGGCAGGGAGGACAGGTTGCTGGTCCCAGGGCTCACCAAGCGGTTAGGACATCCACAGCCTCCATGCCAGATGTGAAAGCTGTACCATGTGATTTCCCAGCCACCGGCCCCTCCTCTCTCTGTGGCATGGACATTGGACGCTGCCCAGATGACCACCCGCCTTCGCCCTTCCCTGCCTTGTCCAGCCCCAGCCCCTGCCTCTCGGGCCAGGGTCACCTGACCCACGTTGGCCAGGTCAGACGGAGTCAGGGGTCGGAGCGATGGGAGACCACTGAGGGGAGCCCCCAGGAGCTGGGGGCCAGGCTACACCGGAGCTTGGAGAACCTACACTGGGCAGCCACCTCCCAGGTGTGTGGTCCACCACACATCAGACCGGGAAACCAGGCCCAATACCAGACCCCCCTGGAAGAGGCCAGGAACCCAGGACCACCCCTGATTGCCCTCAGGGTCCCCACACCATGGTTCTTCACCCCTGTGGACGAGACCGGCAATGCCAAACGAGGCTTGAAGGAGAAACTGAGGCTCCAGAGCAGCAAGGCCGCCGAACCTAACAAGCCCCTCCGTCCCCACGCCCTGCTGGTGGAGGCTACGCCCGGAGAGAGAGCATGGGCGCAGGATCCGCCGTCCGGACCCGCGGCCTGGCCGGGAAGCTCCCGCAGGCTGGTTAGCCCCGAGGAGATCAAGCGAGAGGCCCTGAGGAGGCTGACGTTACAGCGACAAAACAGCACGCCTAACCTGGCCCTGGGCTGGAACCAGGAGGCCGGAGAGGACCATGTGGGGGGATTCCGCAGGGATGAGAGCGCGGAGCCACGGTGCTGGGAGCCGGGAGCTGACAGGAGGAGGCACTCCAAGGCCCGGGCATACATCCCCTCCTTCGAAGAGTTCAAACGAATGAGACAAAGGGAGAACCGTGAGGTGTCGAGCGGGGAGGCCCAGGGGTTCGGGCAGACGGGCTTGATCGAGGGGATGGTGAACAGCGGGAGTTGTCCCACCCTCAGCCTGACGGAGCCTCACCTCCCCGGCAGGAGGGCCTCGACGGACAGCAAGGACGTGTTCCGCTCGTGCCTGGCCCCCCGGCGAGGGGATTCAGAGCTCCGTCTCCCCCGGCGACAACCCTGCCCCGAGGCCCAGGCCGCCCCCATCCGCACCTGCCCCGCCCCGGGCTCGCCCCTGCACACCCTGCCCCGGGGGGGAGAGGACCAGGCGGGCGAGGGAAGCAGAACAGCCCCTGGCTCAGGCTTAAGCCTAGACCCAGGTTCGGAGGGGAAGCAGGTCTGTGAGGCCCAGTCGTCCTGCTGTCCCTCACTACTGCTGGACGCCGCCACGGACCTCTCGGGCTACGGAGCCAAACTCCAACAGATGAAGGACGGCCTAATAGGGTCAGCCATTGACCTGCTCAAGAAAAGGTAATATGAGGGGGTCAACAACAACAACTTGCATTTATTTACGTAGCACCCCTCACGCAGAGGGGTCCCAGAGCGCTTAAAAGAGAGAGCGAGAGGGAGGGAGGGAGAGAGAGAGAGAGAGAGAGAGAGAGAGAGAAAGAAGGAAGGGAAATTATAATCGTCCTTGCATTTGATACAGCGCCTTATCACGTCTTCGAGACGTCTCAAAACGCCTCTCAGGATATACCGTGCAGTGAATTGACCGTGTGTATGGTTTGTGGGCGAAATGCAGCGTAACAATAATAATTAGTATTGTGAATATAAAAAGAAAAGGGAGCGTTAACATGAGGAGGGCAACGTAGGCCGGGCTGTCTGAAACAGTGACGACAAACACAAGCACAAGGCAGATCCTAATCATGTAAAAACTTTCAATGGAGCCGTCATTCCTTATTCATGGCCTGAGCCAATGTAACCGGACACGCGTTAAGTAGTCATCAACCAGTCTCTCCGCTAGTTACTAATGCTGCCATCAATACTCTCCGGTGATCACGTACCGTGTCGCTTGGGCCACCTGATCCAATGTAATCAGCAGCCCCCACCCACACCCACACGCACACGCGCGCGCACACGCATAACACACGCACATACGAAGCTCCCAGCTGATCCACCTCCCAAACCCAGAGTAAATTTGCGTTCACACAGCGCCTTTTCTCGTCGCCAGGACGTCCCAAAACATCAGCGTAATAACAATACTAATCCTTGGATTTGTTGTCGTGCTTCGTCACGTCGTTGAGACGTCTCAAAGCGCTTCACAGAATATATTGTAAAGTGGAGTGAGTGGGTATTTTTGTGGGTGAAAAAACGCGGCAGCCAATCGTGCACAGCAGCGTCCCCACAAACAGTCGTGAGTCGAGTGACCAATCTTTTTTTTGAGGGATTATTGCCTCCAGAAGGCGATCTGCCAGTTGACTACTTGTTGTTAGGTAAACGGAGGCGTGCGTGTGGAGTAAGCAAAATTGCCCAACGTTTCGCCCCGCCCGGGAATCAAACCCGGGTCCTCTCGCTTGCGAGGCGAGAGCTCTAACCACTGAGCTACAGGACTCCGCAATATCAAGTGCAAGGATTATTATTAATCGATACGGCCCTCCCACCTTCATTCCCTTGAGGAGAAAACCTGGGGGTTGGGGTGTGGGTGTTTGTGTGTGTGCGTGAATCCTTCCCTCCTCACTGTGGACAGAGCCCTGGTTAGAGAGAGAGAGAAAGAGAGAGGCGGTGATGGAACACCAGACACACAAAGGGTTAACATTTCGGGATTCACGTTCTTTCTCCCATTCCCGTCCCTGTCCACCGCCCGCAGTTGTGCCGGGGAGATTTCCGCGGAGCTGCCGACGGCCGAGATCTCGGAGTGCCAGGAGCCGGAGGATGCCACCCTCGTCCCTGCTGACGGGATTCAGTCCAGAGCTCCGGTCTCCACGGGGACCTGGGAGCGCGGCGCTGGATCAGGCAAGAAGCCGGTGAGCGCTGGTCAGAGCGTGAGCGTGGGCGCGGGCGCGGTGGAGGTCCGAGGACTGGCGGAGCGCAGGGAGGGACGGGGGCGACAGGAGGATTCACAGCAGGAGGGTTCGGGCTGGCGATGACAAGGGAGAGTTGACGCGTTGGGAGATTGATGGGCTTTTTCATTGAGGAGGGAGAGAAAAGGAAGGTCTCCACGAACAAGGGTCGGCCTTCAGCCTCCTCTGTAAGCCGAGCTCTCGAGCGTTAAAGGTTCACCGCAGCCATAAGTGCTAACAGATTGCACTTGTGTGAGGCCCTTTCATGTCACAGGTCTCAGTGTGGTTAACAAAGAGGTGTGGGGGGTGGGGGGAGATGAGGGAGGGATGTACAGGCTGTTCACAAAGTCCCGTTACCCCCCACCCCACGTGCGTGTGCGCGCGCGCGCGCGCGTGTGTGTGTGCGTTGCGTTGTCGGAGACGTTCAACCAAGCTCAAGCGTCTCCCTGGACGTTGAAGATCTCCCGCGGCGCTGTTCTGAAAGAGAAGGGAGTTCCTGGCCTCTCCCGGTGGACGAGATGAAACACGAGGGTGACCAGAAAGTCGTAATAACTATCCTATTATCTAAAAAAAAAATGCATCGTCATTTCCTTTAAGACTCAATAGACGTTGTAATGGTTCTCACGACGTTTCGGTCACCCCGTACACGTGTGATTTATGCGCCGACGATCGCATCGAACCTGTTCTGAAATCTTCCCCCCTCGTGTTTCTCCCTCCCCCCCCCCCCCCCCACACCCACCCAATCCCACCCCACCCAGAAATCAACCCCCGTTTGCCGCAGATCGAGCTCGGACGCTGCCTACGAGACCCCGGAGAGCGCCAAGGCCCAGCGGGAGTGCCGCCTGCGCCCGCACTTCAGTGACCCCATGCCAACCGACGCAGTTAAACGCAAACAGCTGGAGATGAAGATCGCGGCGGCCGCCTGGGGGCTCGGGCACAAGAGACGCCCGGGAGAGAGCAGCGGCCAGGCTTTCGGTCAGTCAACCATCCCCCCCCCCCACCCCCCCTCTCGCCATCTCACCCACCAGTTGGCCGGCCGGCCGGCCTCCGAGCTCACACGCTCCTGCTCGCACCCCTCCTCCAGCAGCAAAATAATAACGGCCGAGTCAGAAGCTTGTGTGGGTTCGAGCCCCCCGACACGTCGGGACTTGGAATCGGTCTTAAGCTGATGCTGGGGAGTGGTTGCATTCTCGGAGCCGCCGTCCTTCGTCGATCCTCACTCCCCGTCTGCGCCGGTTCAGGTGGACGTTAAACATCCCGCGGCGCTGCTCGAAAAGAAAAGAGTTTCTCTCTCTCCTCTCTCTCTCTCTCGCCGACAATCCCCCCGGCTGTTTGTGGGGACGCTGCTGCGCGCTGCTACGTTTCGCCCGCAAAATGCACAGTCACTCCAGTTTCCGGTATATCCTGTGAAGCGCCTTGAGACGTCTCAATGTCGGCCCTATATCAAACGCAAGGATTAATGTTATTATAATAATCATAATGTTTAGTGGGGGTGTTGGGGCGGGGTGGGGTGGGGGGGGACGGGCAGGGAGGCAGGGTTTAATCGCTGCTGCCATGCCTGGGATAAATAATTTCACCCTCTCCCCCACCCCCCCGCCCCGAGCGCACTTGCTTCTGCTGTCACCTTCCCCCCCCACCCCACCCCCACTCTGTAGAGGGTTGGAGTAGAAGCCTCTGAAGTTGCTGTGTTCCGTTGTTGACAGTGACGTCTCGATGACGTGATGAGACGCCGTGTTATTATTTTGATTGTCACCGCAGGACCGGAGTCTGTCGCGGGCGGCCAAGGGCCTGAGGGGGAGCCGGGGCCCGGGCCGAGACTCCCCTGCCCCCGGCCCACCTCCCGACACCGAGCCAAGCATCGCTGGAGCAACATGAGCACGGACAGCGGCATCGTGGGCCTGAGCGATGAGCGGGAGGAGCGCGAGGAGGAGGAGGAGGAGGAGGGCGTGGGGGTCGAGGAGGAAGATGAGGGCGGGCGCAAGTCCGCGGAGGTGGAGAGGGCGGACAGCGGCATCGGCCCCGCCACGGCCAAGAAGTGGAAGAGCCGGGCGGGCGTGGGGGCCAGGGCCAGGGCTTGGGAGGGGCCTCGCTCGGCTCCGGGCTGGGCGGCTCACCGGCCGTGCGTGGACTGCGGGGAGAGAGAGCCCCCCGAGCCGGAGCCCAGGACCGGCGGCCGCCAGCGGAGGAGGGAGAGGCTGTGCGGCAAGTGCGGGAGGCGCCGGACGGAACGTAAGGAGGCGGTGCTGGAGTTCGTGAACACCGAGGGCAGTTACGGAGAGGACCTGCGGGTGATCAGGCAGGAGTTCTACCTGCCCATGCAGGACGCTGGGCTCCTGGCCCGCGAGCAGTTGGCCGTGATCTTCAGCAACATCCAGGAGCTGATCGAGGTCAACGAGAAATTTACCCAAAGGCTCCACGACTCCACTGAACAGGCCCTGGATCAGGTAAGATGACATCTTCGTCGTCGTCGTCATCATCGTCGTCTTGCATTTGTATCTCGTGATTTATCGCGTCTTCGAGACGTCTCAAAGCCCTTCGCAGGACAACAGGTGGAGTGAACCGACTGAGCTGTAGCTCAGTGGTCGGAGCCCTCGCCCTCGCCTCGCCAGCGAAAGGACCCGGGTTGGATTCCCGGGCGGGCAGGGCGGGACCTTAGGCAGGTTTCCTCACTCCTCACGCCCTCTGTTTACTCAGCAACAGGTAGGAACCCGCCGGCTCGTCGAATTGCGGATCGCTTTCCGGGGGTAATCCTCCAAAAAATATAATAATAATAATTTGGTCACTCAAACCACGACTGTTGGTGGGACGCTGCCGTGCGCAATTGGCTGCTGCGTTTCTTCCACAAAGTACACAGTCAATTGACTTTATACTAAATTATAATAATAATCCTTGCATTTGAGATATATATGTATAGTATACTGTGATAAGGCACTGTATCAAATCCCAGGATTATTATTATAGTGTGTGTGTGTGTGTGTGAGTGGTATGTGTTGTGTGTATGTTTTGTGTGTATTTCACTCTCTTCCTCTGGGATCATTTGCCCACAAAACGCACGGGTCACTGCACTTTACAGTATATATTGTTTTGAGACGCCCTCCAGATGAAAGGCACGGTAGCAAATGTACGGATTATCATTAATATCTGTTGGCAGGGCGACGAAGACTTTCTGACGGTGTGCATCGGCGAGATGTTCCTGGAGTTTGTGAACATGCTCCCCGCCTTCCAGACCTACTGCATCCATCAGTCCACCTCCATCAACATGCTCAACACCCTGGAGAAGGAGAAGGAGCTGCTCAGGTCAGGCTCAAACACCACACGCCAGTTAGATTGAGAGAATGTTTACAGCACAGGAATAATTGGTCATCGTGTCTGTGCTGGGGCTCGCTCCCCCTCTGGAGCTCTCTACCCTAACCCTATTCCCTGCTCTCTCTCTCTCTCTCTCTCCATCGGGTCTGTGCTGGGGCTCACTCCCCCACTGGAGCTCTCTACCCTAACCCTATTCCCTGCTCTCTCTCTCTCTCTCTCTCCATCGTGTCTGTGCTGGGGCTCACTCCCCCACTGGAGCTCTCTACCCTAACCCTATTCCCTGCTCTCTCTCTCTCTCCATCGGGTCTGTGCTGGGGCTCACTCCCCCACTGGAGCTCTCTACCGTAACCCTATTCCCTGCTCTCTCTCTCTCCATCGTGTCTGTGCTGGGGCTCGCTCCCCCTCTGGAGCTCTCTACTCTAACCCCATTCCCTGCTCTCTCTCTCTCTCTCTCTCTCTCCATCGTCCAGCAGTCACCCTAACGCACACTGTGGGCTCTTGCCAACCGGAGCCAAATTCTAGAATTGGGCGAATAATAAAACGAGCAAAAGTGTCCCTCCAGGGAGCGAGACAGAGAGAGAGAGAGAGACAGTAGTACATTCCATTCCAACGATCTACCTCTGGAATTTCTAATGTGTAGCTGGGATTATATGGAACTGTTCGGATCCGGAGACTCTTAAGCAACGGTGATGCTTTTCCGCGTGGGTCAGACATCCCGGCTGACCGAACAAAACTCCAATGCAAGGATTGTTACCATTGCCAACTGGCGTCCCCCAGTGGTCAAGACGTATAAACCCATCGGATCTTAACACGGAGTTTCCATACGTAGAATCATTCTGGTTCGGATAGGGATCGTCTCACGCGGATGGGTTCTGGCCCGTGACTGAGCGAAAAAAAAAAGTGGAGGGCCTTCCTTAACAGTTAACAGTATTTTTCCTGAAGCGTTAATCATTTATAATTGTTAATGTGGAACAGTAATAATAATAATAATAATCCTTGCATTAGACACAGCGCCTTATCACCTCTTCGAGACGTCTCAAAGCGTTTCGCTGACGATACCGTAAATTGGAGTGAGTGTGTACTTTGGTGCATGTGCGCGTGTGTCTGGGTTGCAGGATATTTCTGGACGTCTCTCAGAACGACAACACGGCGCTCCGTCGCATGAACCTGCGGTCGTTCCTGATGGCCCCGCTGCAGCGGGTCACCAAGTACCCACTGCTCCTGAGTCGGATCAGCAGCGCCACGCTGGAATACCACCCGGACCATCCCAGCCTGCGGGAGGCCAAGAGCAGGGTGGAGTCCCACCTGGAGCACATCAACATGAAGACCAAGCAGGAGGGGGCCCCCTGGTGTCTGCGTTCCTTCCGGCGCGACAGCCGTCGCAATCGGGAGGTCATCGACATCGAGATGAGGGAGATGGCGGTCAGGGCGGTGGGCTGGGCCCGCGAGGAGACCCGCTTCGCCATGGAGGGACGGCTGCAGTTCTGTCAGCCCAGCGACGGCCAGTGGGCCAGGAAGGGCAACAAAGCCCTCAAGTTCCAGAGCCTCCACGTGATCCTGATGATCATCCCCGGGCAGCAGGAGGGGGCCGCCCCCGAGGAGGGGGCCGAGGAGGTGCGCGACGCCGCCCTGGTGCTCATCCGGGACAGGAGCAACGGAAAGTTTTCTCTGTTCAGGGACCCGCTGCACCTCGGCCACTGCGTGGTCTCCTCGGACCCCGACTGCGACGACACCTTCGAGCTGCTGGACATCAGGAGAGACGCCTTCGTGTTCCGCGGGGCCGAGCGGCCGCAGACCCGGCACTGGTTCCGTCTGGTCAGACACTACTCCCGCGGCCTGGGCTCCTGGAAGAGGCGACGCAATGCGCTGCCCAACATCATGATCAACGCCAGCCAGAGCCGGGCCTGAGCCACAGGCCTGAGACAGCCTGATCCAGACAGAGCCACCGGACTGAGACAAGCCTGAGCCACAGGCCTGAGACAGCCTGACCCAGCCACAGCCAGAAAGAACCACAGGCCAGAGGGGAGCAGAGGTTCAGGGTGGGAGCTGGAACACCGTAGGCGGAGAGTGACTGAGGCTAGTGGGGGGCTCAGACTCTCCCTGCCACCCCCCCTCCCCCACCATCTATCTACAGTTTTGTCTTGAGGGGGTTGGGGGTGGTGGGAGGGAGACCCCTGAGGAGGACCACAGCCTGTCCTCCGAGCAGCCCCAGCCCCTGGTGCGGCCTGCCCCCCTTGAAGTCTTTCAGCTGCTCGTTGGGGCGTCCTCAACTCTGATTTGCCGATGGACCTGGCAGTCAAATCAATGGCTCACCCGTGTTAATCAGCCCCCCCCCCCAGAATATTTTCTCCCCCCACCCACGTGGAACCCTAACCCCAACTGCTCTCCACCCTCACCGCTAGACTGAGGTGCAGAACAATGCACCTTCTCACAAGGTTTCTCATGTAAACAGACGCAACGGAGTGGAGGGGACATCTTATTTATTTTCTTTCTCCTCACATTCCCCGCCTCCCTCCCTCCGCTTCGGTCTCCCATGGCCGGACCACCCACCTCCGTTCAGTATGACCGCAATACGGCTGCCTTCGCAAACCAGGCGAAACACAGGAGGGTAAATAATTCCTTTCAGGATTGGTGTAGCAGCGGTCACAAATTCCTGTTATGGTCCCAGCGGAACTTTTACCCCAAGTTTCAGATTTCTTCCCTGCTCCATACTCCAGAGCGTAAACCATCTCACTTGTGTAGGAAGCCCTTAATTTTGTTCTAATTTCTTAAGCTTTCGGCCTGAGAGTCATTCCGATTAATTATTGCCTTTATTTTAATGAGCTAAATAATTCCAATGTGGCTACAAGAAGGACAAATGACATTCCCACGGCGCCTTTCACTTCGGGAGGATGTCCCAAGGCACTGAACAGTCAGGGATTCGGCCCCGTGCTGGGGGTTGGGATCAGGAGGGGTGGAGGGCGGGGAGGATGGGATAGGAGGGTGACCGAAGGCACGGTCGAAGAGGAGGATCTTGAGACGTGCCTTGAAGGAGGTGAGGGAGGGAGCGAGGCCGAGGGGACTGTGGGATGGAGTTCCAAAGGTTGGGGCAGAGAGGCAGAGGTTTTTGAAGAGCGATTTCAGGACAGAACTCCAGGAAGTTTCTCTTCACTTCGAAGGGCAATAAACAGCAGGAAACGAGGCTCACTGGCAGGTGGTGGTTCAGGCTGGAACCTGTTTAAGAAATGTCTCATTGCTGACCTACGAGGGAGCCTGCAAGGGTGAGATGAATGGGTTAAAGGGCCTTCTCCATCCGAACCACCCCTGCGTTAGGTAAAGCACAAGTGTGAGGGGAGGCAGGGCAGCCAGACGTGTTGTGTTCTGTGTCTATGTGCAGGTGTAACGTGCACCATTTGTGAACCATGTGTACATAAGGAAAACAGGAGGCCATTCAGCCCACCGAGCCTGTTCTATTAGGTCATTTGATTTTGGCAAATCTTTTAATCTCGATGCTCAGCTCTTTCACCAAACCCTAAAACTCCACCCACCCAAACATGGGTCCAGCTGTGTTAGGACAGGTGGTGCTTAATTATGTCATTAACAAAATGGTTAATTATCTAATGACTGAATCCCTTGCAATGGGCGATTACATAATTAAGGACATTATTTATCGAGTCTTGGGTTGTTCCCTAATCTTAACTGTTCCAACAACTTCAACCTAATGTAGTTTTATGTTGAACGAAGACCTTGAAGCACCGAGCAAGGAGATTGGGGGGAAAATCCCTGAGCAGGGAGGACAGGAGGGGGAGTTTGAGGGCGTTGACCAAAAAAGGGATAGCCTTTCACGTCAGGAGGACGTCCAAAGTCAGGGATTTGGACCCGAGTTGGGGGTTGGGATGGGGGGGGGGCTGGAGGTCAGAGAAAATGATGATGGTCGTCAAGTCAGAGGAATACAGCAACTCAGGCTTAAAGAAATAAATCAGTCAGGGATCCCGTCCCGAAGCCTGGGGTTCCGTATACAAGGTGTTCCCAAAGTCTTGTTACCCTCTTGTGTGTTTTCCTGCAGTGCACTATCCAACAACTGAAACATGGGGAAGAATCATTGTATGTAGAAGTACCTCATTGTATTCAGTACAAGTGTTTAGCTGTGTTCACGTCCAGAGGAGCGGTGAGTGCGAGCACATCATTTTCATGGCAGATAATGATCTGTCGCCGTGTGGGTTGTAACATCTTCCATAATACGACTGTGTGGATTGAGGAGGCGAAGTGCGTGTCCGACAGCTTATTTCAGTTTGTGTAGTCTTGGATCACTGGTCTCCGCTTGCGGCTGCGATGAGAAGAAATGACCCCTTTGGAAGAAGCCATCACCTGCACAGATACAGATACAGTTCCTCAGACGCCCTCCCACTGAGTCCTGGATGTCTGCGGTTCTTTTTGTTTTAACCACTTTGTCGTTAACACTTAAGATGGCGCAGAATTTGGGAACATTCTGAAACTCAAGTCTTATTTTAACAGCCGATTTTCTTTATTAAGGATCGCGGGGAGAATAGATCTGCTTCCGAATTAAAAGACTGGGTTTGAGAATTGTTCACCGTTCGGCGCCAGTCACAATTTTAAGGCAATTGGCAGAAGGACTTCGAAGCCCGAGAAATTTCAGGGCTCAGAGGAATGTGAAAATAAGGGGGAAAGGGAGGGAGGCGGGAAAGTTAGGGAGGGAGGGAGGGGGAAAATGGATGTATAAATGTAAAGAGAAATGCAGTTATGTAGGGTTGGCGGTGGGGGGGGGGGGGGGGGGGTGGGGGGGTGTTTTGCTTGTTGAGCACTGCTGATTGGGAGGATCTCCACACACACAGCAAAGCACAGGGCTTGGAGGCTTGAAATTCCCCCTGGTTTTAGCCTGCGTCTTATCATTTAAGGCGGCACGGAATCGCCAACAGTTCTCGAATTCAATCCGGGTTTTGGAAACCAGAGTCTTTTATGAACTGCACTGCGGAAAAGCTCCCTCCGAATTGAGAGCAGGTTTAGGAGCTCTGTCACAGAGTCCAGTCTGACACTCCACTGCATTGCGGAGGGAGTGCTGCATTGCCAGAGGTGCCGCTCTCCTGAACGGATAAACTCAAGGTCCTTTCTTTGTCTGTTCAGGTGAGCATTAAAAGATCCCGCGACGCTATTCAAAAAGAGGAGTTTCTCTCTCTCCCGGTGTCCTGGACAACAATCCCCAAATAAATGGTCACTCACTCCGCAGCCGTTTGTGGAACGTCGCTGTACACAAATTGGCTGCTGCGATCGCCTACAAAATACAGCATACGTTCCAGTGAAATTGCTTTGAGACGTCCCAAACAATGTGATAAGGAGCTGTAGCGAAATAAGAGGATTTTTATTAATTATCCCAAACCCCGCACCACCTTAAATCTGAAGGCAAAACAGTCTCGTCTCGCAGGCTGGGACCGGGTGGAATTCGTGGCCTCTGAATTGTGGCTGCCTCACAAACTGCAGAGCGAGTTGCTACCACACGCCCAGGGCCTTTAGTCGCTGTGAGAAAAATAGCAGATACTTATTTAATTCCAGAACCTCAAGACTTGTGAAAAATCTACTTACGTTTTAACTTTGTAATTTTTTTTGTACAACATCAAAGTGGATTTTATGTAGGAAACGCGTTTCCTCAAGGATTCAAAATGTGGAACAGACCTTTACCACCGTGTATAGTGTATTATTGTGTATCATAATAATAAAGACCTGAAGAACACACACATACACACAGTCAGTTTGCTCTCTATTCCTTGTAAACACATTCAACAACAACAACATTACATTTATAGAGCGCCTTTCATGTCGGGAGGACGTCCCAAAGCGCTGAACGGTCAGGTGTCGGGGCCCGAGCATTGGGGGAGAGTGGAGAGGTAGGGGTGAGGGAAGGCACGGTCGAAGAGAAAGGTCTCGAGACCGGCCTTGAAGGAGGCAAGGGAGGAAGCGAGGCGAAGGGACCGTGGGATGGCGTTCCACAGTGTGGGGGCAGAGAGGCTGAAAGCCCGGCCGCCGACGGTAGGGCGAGAGACATGGAGCACCCGGAGCCCGATGAACAGGGGAGCGGGCAGGTTGGTAGGGAGTCAGCAGGTCAGAGAGGTAGGAGGGGGCAAGACTGTGGATGGCCTTAAAGATGAGGACGAGGATCCTCTGGGGGATGGGGAGCCAGTGGAGTCGGGCGAGGGTGGGAGTGATGGGGTCACGGAGCCTGGTGCGCGAGAGTACACGAGCTGCGGAGTTTTGGACGATCTTTGGATTCAGACTTTGAGGGGGGAAAGACAGGAATTTTCAACCCATTCAGGGACCCCTCAGCCCGTCGTGTCTGTGCCACTGCTCACCATGTACGTTAGGCGCCCCGGATTTTAATCAATTCTCACATCCCAGCTTCTTCCTTCCTGAAAGTCCTCAAGTTCCTATTGCTCAAGTTGATCCAACTTGGCGGCCACTCATGCGGCTCAGGGGGAATCATTCAGTCATTTTCAACCATTCTGCACCATCTTAAATTTTAACACAATCTCAAGGCTGTGACCAGGAGGGAATTCAGATCAATGGGACAGCATCAGATTTCACATCCCTTTGTCGCCGCCAAATCCCTCAGTTTTATGCGCTCACCCGCACGGAGGGCCCTATATAAATGTTTTTAGCGGGGATGTACCAATTCCCTGCCCTCATGAAGTGCACACAGGTTTACTCTACACGTTTATTGTTCCATCAGCAATACGCAAAAATACAAACGGTCTGTGATCCTTTCATCAGCTAAAGATTCAGTGAAAAAACAATGTACGTTAACCAGACAGGCTCCACATTTAAACAGGGCAACTGGATAGGGTGGTGAATGTGAGTAGGATGCGTGCGTGTGTGTGCTTGCATGGCTGTAGGGTGATGTGCGTGTGCCTTGGGATGTCCTCCCAAAGTGAAAGGAGCTTTACAAATGTAATTTCATGTTGTGTGTGTGTGTGTGTGTAAATTAGTGAGTGTGTGTGTGTGTGTTGGTTGGGGGTTCTCCCTCAATATAACCGTCCTCCCACCCTGTGTAGATTTTGGAATAATGAACCAATGAGTGGGGGGAGGGCCTCAATTATGAACACATGGAATATCTCCCTCCATTACCTCCCAAATCTGTCTCCAAACAGCACTAACCGCGGGGAGTTGTCACGATACAGTAAACAGCTTCCATCCTCTGGTCCTTAACATGTCGGGAGGTAAACACCCAACGAACGACTAATTTATCGTCTCTCTCTCTCTCCCCCCCTCGCCCTCAGTTACTTTCCCACCGCCTCGCCCTTGCCGTCGTCTGCCTTGTCCGCTTTGCCGAGCCCCCGGATGGACAGGTCGTAAACCACCTCCTCGATCTTCTTCACGTCGTACTTGAGGCCGTCGTAGCGCTTGCGCAGCGAGTCGTTCTTCAGGTTGAGCAGCCGAAAGCCGGAGTCGAGCTCGTTGATAAAGGAGGAGATGCGAAGAGGCCGGGAGTAATCGCCAGCCGTCACGCTGTTCAGCGCCAGTCTCGACTGGGGAGCAAACAGAGCAGAGGCTGTGGAGCGGTGAGGATACCAACAACAACATGCATTTGCATAGCGTCCCTCAAGCAGGATGGAGTCCCAGAGCGCTTGGCAATGGTGGAGCCGGGTGGAGGTGACCGTAAGCACCGTAACTGATCGGCAGTAGCGGAGGGCGGGGAGTAGAAACGGGAGCATTTTCTGAGGGGGTGTCTCGGGGTCGGTAGCCACGTTGATAGAGAAGAAAGGCACCTGTTGTCCTGTCACAGTTTCTTACCAGTTCGCTGGCCAGGATCAGTAGCCCCGAGAGGTAGTCCTCAATGTCCAGGTGAAAGCCCTTGTCTCGGTGCATGTGTACTACATCACAACAAGAGCAGACGGTTACAATGGGAAAGCTGCCCTCGGGCATCCATCAGCGCCTTACTTCTGGCTCCCAAAGTAAAGAGGCCAAACTGATGGTTTCCAGTCTTGTTGAGGCACCACAACATCACTGGAGTCTTCACAACCAGAGGAGACGCCTACTAATGCTTTCAACAACAACTCACCTCCGAGGATTTCGGCCACCACTTCCCGCGACACTAACGTTTCCGACTCCAGATAAACCACAAATGCCGCCAGGAACACAAGGCGCTGCAGCACGAACCTCCAGTGCTCATTGAACCTATAACACAACAGCAGTAGATTCCGTCAGCCTCAAAAATGTGGTCACTGAGTCCATGACTGTTTGAGAGACAATGCTGTACGCAATCGACTTGACGTGTTTGGCCCACAAAATACAGTCACCACACTTTACATTATATTCTGTGAAACTCTTTTTGCGACGCTCAAAGACGTGATAAGGCGCTATATCAAATGCAACGATTATTATTATTATTATAAACACTGGGAACCGCCCCAGCCTCAAATACCGAGTCTCACACACAGAAACAGCTTCATGGCTTTAAACCAACACTCCCCCCCACCCCACCCCCACCCGCAATCGCAAGACTTATAAACAGCCTATGGTTCTGAAGGTGTCTTGAATAGAGAGTAATAACCCAGGGTGTAGTAATTAAGCCCAAACACTGCAGTTATTGAACAAACCCTAACATACAGGAATCTCCGCACTGACCTGTAATACTGATCTATGGGGAACTTGGTCTTCAGCTCAACCATGAGGGTCTTCACTGTTTCGAAGTGCACACGTGCTTTCTGGCACTTGTTAGGGACTGCGAAAGAGACAAGAGAGAGAATGTGACGATAGCTGCATTGGAACGGCTTCCATCCTCACAGAGAGAATCAAATAGCAAACCCTCCACTGAGCGAGAAACCAAACTCAATGTTAAGCCTTGAAAGGCCAGTTCTTCCTATGAGCTGAGTGTGTTTTCCTCTGTCCTTGTTCCTCGAGAGAGAGAGAGAGAGAGAGAGAGAGGGTATCTTGACCCTGAGATCAGCCAGTGCAGCAGATCGGGCCGCAACTGGACTCCAATGGCCCTGGGTTGGGTGGGGAGTGGGGGTAACAGGGAGCTCGGCTGGAGTTCCTGCTCCCACACGCAACCAAGAGGTAAAACCCCGCTGCAATATTACAGTAGGACTGGTCACGTCCCCGATGCTTACTGTCTTTAAAGCCTGATGTCTGATGGACCGTCTGTAGTAAGGTCAGGATCTCACGGGCCGTCTGCTCCAGCAATTGGACAACTTTCCTTATCTCCTAAACACAGCGGCAAAGAAACAAACAGAACAGAGAAGGAAAGGTGAGGAGAGGGGAGGACAGGACAGGGCCCCGGGGGCTGCGGCACCCAAACTTCTTCCCTCATTGTCTGTCTCTCTCCTTTTCTTCCCCTTTTACTCCCTCCGTCTCCTCCCCCCACTCCCCCCTTCTCTCACCCCCACCCCCTCTCTCTCACCCCCCCCACTCCCTCCCTCACCCCCTCTCTCACCCCCCCACCCCCTCTCTCTCACCCCCCCCCACTCCCTCCCTCACCCCCTCTCTCACCCCCCACTCCCTCCCTCACCCCCCCACTCCCTCTCTCACCCCCCCACTCCCTCCCTCACCCCCTCTCTCACCCCCACCCCACTCCCTCCCTCACCCCCACTCCCTCTCACCCCCCCACTCCCTCCCTCACCCCCACTCCCTCTCACCCCCACTCCCTCTCACCCCCCCACTCCCTCTCACCCCCCCACTCCCTCCCTCACCCCCACTCCCTCCCTCACCCCCACTCCCTCCCTCAACACCCCCACCACTCCCTCCCTCAACACCCCCCACTCCCTCTCACCCCCACTCCCTCTCACCCCCCCACTCCCTCTCACCCCCCCACTCCCTCCCTCACCCCCACTCCCTCCCTCACCCCCACTCCCTCCCTCACCCCCCCCCACTCCCTCTCACCCCCCCACTCCCTCCCTCACCCCCACTCCCTCTCACCCCCACTTCCCCTCACCCCCCACTCCCTCTCTCACCCCCACTCCCTCACTCCCTCTCACCCCCACCACTCTCAACAGCCCCCTCACACCGCCCCCCCCCTCACACCGCCCCCCTGACCTCTCTGATGTCCTGGTCGGAGCTCAGACTGGCCTGGATGAGGCTGAACATACTGCCGACCGACATGACGGCGCGGGAAGTGACCGGAGGGGGAGGGGTCCTTCGTGGCCGCTTCCAGGCGTCCACACACACACACACACACACAAAAAAGAAGGCCTTTCATTCGCATATCTTTTTTTTAAAAAAAAAATAAACCCCGAAAACCCGCGCTCCTAAAATCAAAAAAAATTACACCGCGAGAAAAAAAAATTCACCCGAGAACGGTGTTGAATTATTGTGTGTGTGTGTGTGTGAGGGAGGGGGAGAGAGGCATTGTGCACAGGCACCTGTCTTGGACAGCTATGTGGCGGGGTCCTGACTCGCCGGCGGTCGCGCTCTCTCTCCCTCTCTCTCTCTCTCTCTCTCGCCGCCGCCATTGAGGAGTCGGTAGTGACGGTCGGGCTATGGTGAGGCAATCGGTCGCCATCCGCGGCCCACGAGCGGCCCCGCGGGTCTGACCCCGCGCGGCCCGGGAGCTGAACTTGGCGTCTCACCCGCGGGGCCGCTATTTTCGGGCGACGATGGTTGAGGGAGAGAGAGAGAGGGGGTTGTTTTTTTAAGAAAAAGATGAATTTAAATGGCGCCGCGGGGGGTGGAGTGAGTGTGTGAGTCCAACTGACCCCCTCTCCCCCTCTCTCTCTCTCCCCCTCTCTCTCTCTCCCTCTCCCCCTCTCTCTCCCCCTCTCTCTCTCAGGCGTCTCACAAGACTTTCAGGATTAAGCGCTTTCTCGCCAAGAAGCAGAAGCAGAACAGACCCATTCCACAGTGGATCCGCATGAAAACGGGCAACAAGATCAGGTGAGGCCGCCCCCCCCCCCCCACAGCCCGGGGACCTGCTGCCCCCCCCCACACACAACCTGGGGACCTGCCCCCCCCCCCCCCACACACAGCCTGGGGACCTGCCCCCCCCCCCACACACACAGCCTGGGGACCTGCCCCCCCCCACACACACACAGCCTGGGGACCTGCCCCCCCCCCCCCACACACACACACAGCCTGGGGACCTGCCCCCCCCCCCCCACACAGCCCGGGACCTGCCCCCCCCCCCCCCCACACACACAGCCTGGGGACCTGCCCCCCCCCCCCCCACACAGCCCGGGACCTGCCCCCCCCCCCCACAGCCTGGGACCTGCCCCCCCCCCCCCACAGCCTGGGGACCTGCCCCCCCCCCCCCCCACACACACACACAGCCTGGGGACCTGCCCCCCCCCCACACACACAGCCTGGGGACCTGCCCCCCCCCCCCCCACACAGCCCGGGGACCTGCCCCCCCCCCCCCCCACACAGCCCGGGGACCTGCCCCCCCCCCCCCCCACACACACAGCCTGGGGACCTGCCCCCCCCCCCCCCACACACACACACAGCCTGGGGACCTGCCCCCCCCCCCCCCACACAGCCCGGGGACCTGCCCCCCCCCCCCCCACACACACAGCCTGGGGACCTGCCCCCCCCCCCCCCCACAGCCCGGGGACCTGCCCCCCCCCCCCCCCCCACAGCCCGGGGACCTGCTGCCCCCCCCCCCACAGCCCGGGGACCTGCCCCCCCCCCCCACACACACAGCCTGGGGACCTGCCCCCACCCCACAGCCTGGGGACCTGCCCCCACCCCACAGCCTGGGGACCTGCCCCCCCCCACACAGCCTGGGGACCTGCCCCCACCCCACAGCCTGGGGACCTGCCCCCACCCCACAGCCTGGGGACCTGCCCCCCCCCCACACAGCCTGGGGACCTGCTGCCCCCCCCTTCAAATGCCAGGATTATTATTATTATTGTTGTTGTTGCGGGGCTGTGTCGTGTCACCCGCAGCGCTCTGGAACCCCCTGAAGAATTTTACCCGGCGAGTGGTTGCGGTCTGGGACGCACTCCCTGAAGGGGGCGGTGGAAGCAGATTCAATAACAACTTTCGAAAGACAATTGTGTGTGTGTTTATATATATATACATATATATATACACACACACTCGAAAAGAAAAAAAAGTTACAAGGCTATGGGGAAAGATCGGGCAGGGGTGGGGGAGTGGGACTGGTTGGTAGCTTTCAAAGAGCCATCAAGGACACAATTGCCCGATTGGCCTCCTTCTGCGCTGTGTGGATCTACAGATTGAGAGGGGGGGGGGGGGGGGGCGCTTGCTTATTGGCAAACCCTTCCTTATTTTGGGGGGGGCAACGCGGAGGGGGATTCCCCTGGGCAGGTTTTCTAACTGGTCGGAATAGTGTGCGTTTCTCCCCGCGGGCGTGGGGCGGTGTTGTGAACGCAGGCTGCAATTACAGCGCTCCAGACCGTGGGAGCGTTGCCATTTTCCCTGCTGACACCAAATCTGCTGGCCGCCAATCTGTCTGGTCTTCCCTTCTCGTGGTGAGATTTCAGCTGGTGACAGCAAACACGCGGAAGGTTGAGGCTCCGTCTCAGGTGTCAGCCTCCGCGTTCGCAAATAGTGCCCTGTTACTGGCGCGCGCGCGCAGTAAACCAGCACCTGCATTTGCACAGTTACCCCCCCAAGCCAGGAGAGGGTGGGGGGAGGTGACTGTAAGCGTAGTCGAAGAAGGGGGTCTTCGGGCACTCACTGAAACATGAGGAAGAGAGGAACGACAGGGATAGAGGAATTTGAGTTTCGGGGGATAGTTGGCTGAAAGCACAGCCGAAGATGGTGGAACAGAGGGCACGAGGGACAAGCAGGAGGCCAGAGCCAGGCGAGCAGAGGCAGCAGGTAGTGGGTTGGGGGGTACGCATGGCAGGTAGGGAGGTGCCAGGGCGTGAAGGTTATTTGAGGATGTGTGTGAGGATCTTGAAATAGATTTGTTCGGCGATGATAAACTACTGCTAATTTAATCTGAAAATATGCTAAAATGCCGGCCCTGTTCATCACTTGTTTTATATCTCCAGGTACAACTCTAAGAGGAGACACTGGAGGAGGACTAAGCTGGGCTTGTAGAGAGCCTGAGCCTAACCCGGTTCCAAACCACAATGGATATCACCTGAGGAATCACCATGTGGAGCCAATTGTGTTTTGTTCGCGTTTTCTATTCAGAGAAATAAAAAATGGTAAAATCTATGTTGGCCTCACGTCTGATTTTTAAACAGTTTGAGGGCTTTGCGACTGGTGAATAAAGTGAGATGTGGCTTTGTGCAGCTCCTGCAATACAGGCGTGTGGACTGACGAGGATTATGTTCTGGTTTGTGGTCATCTTGTTTTGACTAGACTCAGGCTTTTGAGAAACAGTGACGTCTCAATGAGCTGAAATGGCCATGTGTGCAACATACAGGTGATGAGGCTGATCAGGAGGTACAACAATCGTACTACAGTTGACTTCTCTTCCACCTGGAAACCGTTTAATGTGTGAGCATTGCCAACCGCCACCTACACACTTAGGGAACGGTTCTACCAGTGGGGAGATGCAGAGCTCGAGCAGCAGCTGCTTATGTCTCTGCACGCGTCAAGATGGACGCTAAGCCCTGGTTATGTGAATGCCCCAACACAATGTGCTTCACAGGAACTGGAGGAAATGGTGTTGGGAGAATTCAATCGTGTTGACGGAGCGTTTGAGATGTTAAACGGAGGACGTGTTTGTCTGCTCAGGTGGACATTAAGATCCTATGGCACATTGAAAAGGGAGTTTTATCTGATGGCCAACAATCTCCCAAATAAATTTGGCCATTCACTTCACGCATTATTGACCGTCACATTTACCTGTACAAAATATTCTTTACAGTGAATCCTCTGAAGCGCTCCCGAGACTTCTATCCACTGGGAAATGCGCTTTTCAAATTTAAGTCGAGGGATTTGAACGCAGGGAGAGTGGCTCCGAGACAAAGTCGATGTCTAACACTCGCAGTTTTATTAAAAAAAACAAATTATTTACTTTATTGTTTGAAAGAATCAAAGGCCAGTTAAATGTCAGTACAAGCAAACGGTGCATATAATTCTGCTGACGTCTTTGCATCTAGAATATATTACAGTACTCGCCCGTGAAAGAATAAAATATTTAAAACAAGAATATGGGAAATCTGGAAGAAAATTAAGCCGACGTGCTCCCAATTACAATGATCGAGCAGTTAACACACAACAAAAAGATTCAATCCATTCACCACTGTCAACATTTTTTGTCGGGGGGGGGGGGGGGGGAAGGAAAGTAAAATTCAACTAAACCGCCTATGGTAAGGAATTTTCATATAAACACTCGGAGGAGGCAGCAACTATAATAATAATAATAATAATCCTTGCATTTGATATAGCGCCTCATCACGTCTTCAGTACATCGCAAAGCACTTCACAGAATGTAAAGCGTCTTGACTGTATATTTTGTGGGTGAAACAATCATCGAAGGAGGCAGCCTGGTTTTAAGTCTTATTCTGCCGAGTTTTAAATAATTCTGGCAGATAAATGTGAGGAGCCTTAGCTCAAAGCAATATGAGCCACATTCCAACCAGCTGCAGACACAATGGAACCACATTTTCAAGAGAGGGGAGAGAATAGAGAGAAAATTGAAAGTTTCTACAAAATATTACAATTTCTTAAGACTTTCTTGGAGACTAGTATTACCAGGTAATTATACATTACGGTCTAACCTGCAATATTCAACAATTCCTTAAGAAATCCCTAGAATTTCTGTGGGAACGGGACACCGCTTGGGAAGTCGATCACCATCAGTGTGAAACACTTGCGGTTAACGAGAAAGTTGCCTCCATTCATTAAGGAATCCCAATTAAAGAAATATCGTGTTAGACTTGGGTGATCTCTCTTACGGTGTGAAAATACCTGCACTAGTATCCAGAGCATAGCAGCAACTCATATACAGAAAATAAAAGATAAATTAAAATGCCGATATCTTGCAGACGAGTCTGGTCATCAACTCGTCTCTTGCCAATAATTACAAAGGATGTTTAAGAACCACTCCATCGCTGGCACCTCTGCCAACCATGTCAAATGACCCTTTAGAGATGCCCTCCTGGTTCAGATCCCTATTAATATAAATTGTGTGTGTGGGTTTGAGGAAAGAAACAGTGATGGACAACTTTCATTCCTCTAGTTACGTTATCTTTGTGACAAAATGCAGGACGTCACACCGGCTGCTTAACTCAAGTTAAAATGACATCCATTCTGGAGGGAACAAAATTCATATAGATTGGACATGATCCACATTTTCACTACTCTACAGGTGAGGAAGGGTGGAATGATGGAAAGCCAATTGGGTGTTCAGTAGAGCCTCTCCTACCCCAAGGACCTTATTTGTGCCTTCTGAATGCCATTAAGGTTTTTTTTTAAATATAATCGATTCATCAATCACTATACTGTAATGAAATTAGCCCACACATTTGCAGTGTTAAGTATTTATTCCCAGGATTATTTGGAAGTTAATTGTATCATTTGCCAATAATGTTCCACTTCTGAGCAACACAAGAACAGAAACCAATGCAATCCTGGCAGCTAACTCCAGGGAAAAAATTTCCCTTTTAGATGCACAAGTAAGAAAATGCAGTTACCCTTTCTAACAAGCAAACAAGGCCATAGAACTGGTGACTGGGGTGCACAGTACTGAAGTGAACAGTAGCTCATAACACACTGCTTCACACTAATTTTCAAATTCCCCAATGCAAAAAAAAAATGCTATAATGCAACGTTATTCAAGAATTACCAAATCAACATCAACCCACAGACAATACCTTACCCTCGTCAAAACCTGGATGTCACCAATACACTCTGAATTGTTATCACCTGTTTCACCAAAACACCAACAAAACTCATTTTCAAAAGGACGACAAGCTCTACTCGTTTTAGATCCACAGCTAATATTTCAGCAAATCCTCAAGGGTTTTTGAGCCAGTATCAGTCACCTGCTTCCTTTTAAGAGACAAAATAGTGTGCCTGGGACTTTTTGGTTCAGTCATGCGGCTTGCAGTTAAGAGATTTTAAGTGGGATGTTTAATTCTAGGCAGACAAGGGGGTGTGCTAACATGTCACTGAACAGTTAAAAGTTGTGCTCCGCTCAATAAGCTTGTGCGGACATTTTCTATACAGCTTCCAAAAGCCAGGTGAACAATATGCAAGCCAAGCCTCAGTCTGGCTGTGCATGCGAGGCAGTGGGTTTAGTTTTTAATGATAACAATTGCTAAACATCGTCTCTTTCCTCTCGCAACTCCCTAGTGCTGCTGTCTGGAGGCTTACAGTTCTGTCTGCGTTGCCTTTGGGTGAGAGAGTTGGAAGCTGACGTGTCAAAACGTAATAAAGGAGACTTTGCATTCAGAAAATAGAAGTTGGAAACTACCTATCAAACTATTCCAATCACCCAAAACTAGTGGAAGGGCCGGAGGCTTCACACAGTTATGTATTTAATTGTTTTTTTTGGGTGGGGGGGGGAAAAGGATGAACGTTTAGGCCCCATCGGTGAAGAATGGAACTCTTTCCTACACACACACACCCTTCCTCGGGAAGACTTAAGTTATTGCCCAGAGGGAATCGGAGCCTATCCTGATTCGACTTCAGGATAGGGGACTTTCTCTATGCATTTCTGTTGATAACAGAAATTCAAACTAATAATAATAATCCTTGCAATTGATATGTCTTCAAGATGTCTCAAAGCGCTTCACAGAATATACTGAGAAGTGAATTGACTGTGTGTTTTGTGGGTGAAACAGTAGCGACCCACAAACAGCCATGGATTGAGTGACCAAATTATTATTATTTTTTTGAAGGAATTGTTACCCCCGGAAAAGCGATCCACCAATCGACTAACAACCAGGTTCCTATTTACTGCTGGGTAAACAGAGGTGTGTGGAGTAAGGAAACCTGCCCAACGTTTCACCCCGCCCAGGAATTGAACCCAGGTCCTCTCGCTTGCGAGGCGAGTGCTCTAACCACTAAGCTACAGGACTCTACTAACCTCATGACGTTTACTGCAAAGTATTCGGCACAAAGAAAAACATTCGCAACTTTCTTCAATCACAGCCCCTTGAGCCGGGGAGAGTGGGAGCAGACAGCACACAATTGTCCTTTGATGGAGACAGGCTGGGAATGCTTCTCTTTAAGGGGCTATGACTGTGACGAGGTTGCTTTCATGATTCTCACCAGGGGAAGAACATATCAAAAGTGCCCAGTCCTGGGCAAGATTGAATACAAACTTATTTGACAACACACAGATACAGTTTGTAGCTAGAAAAACAGGACTGACAGATTCATTCGAATTGTGAGTGACAGAAAACATAGCAAATTACCCCTTTAATTAAAACACCTGCTACAAGAAATGAGAAAGAGAAGGAAAACTAATAAGAGTTTATAAGTGTCCACACAGAGTTTTAAAGGGGTAACTCAATGCAAACCTCGGATGTCAGTGCAATGCTTCACTTTGCGAGGCTGACCCTTGCTGAACGCAACCCAATCTTTTCCACAGGTGGTGAGGCAATTAGCACAACAGCATTGAATCCAGTACATTACACTTTCATCCCAGGACAGGGAGGGAGGGAGGGAGAGAGAGAGAGGCGTGTGTGGTGCTTCCATCAGGATCCTTTAAAGCAGAGGCTGCTGGAAATAGCTGGAATGTTGCTGAGGGCCGTGCTGGAGCGGAGCGGCCATGGAATAGTTGGGGGCCTGCGGGCCGCTGGCAGTAGTGTTCTGATAGGCTGACAGATCGCTCCCCATTCCCACCTGGGTTGTGTAGGGAGCAGCGGGTGCAGGCACTGCCTGGTTGATGTAAGACACGGGTGGGCCGGCGCTGTTTAAAAATAGAGGGGCATTAGGAGCACAGCAACTCACAGCGCCCATTACCACAGGAAAATAGCTCAGCCCAAAGAGAAAAGCGTCCAACCACCTCACAATAATCCTTGCAATTGACACAGCGTCTTATCCCGTCGTTGAGACGTCTCAAAGCGCTTCACAGGATACACGGTGAAGTGGATTCACTATTTTGTGGGAATAAACACGCCAACCAATTGTACACAGCAGCGTCCCACAAACAGCCGTGGATTGAGTGACTTGTGTGAGTTTTACTGTATTACAAAGCCAAGGATGCAAAACGGGGGCTGAATCTCTCAAGTGCTGATGTTACAGAGAACAGCTCCACATAGCGAAGGTTTGACAACCCAGTGAAACGTTCAACAGCCCCACCAGGAATAATAGTGGTAGTGCAGCGGGCTGCAAGGACACACATAAATATAAACAGTTAAATAAAGGCTAACTCACCAGAAATTTTGCAATGTCAAGCAGCTGAGAAACATTCACCCCCCCCCCCCCCACACCGGATTTAATGCCATCATCCAATGATTTATTCTCCCCCCACCCTTTGGAACTCCCATCCCAGTCCCTCCGCCACACCCCTCTCTTGCCTCCTTCACGGTACACCTCAATACAGGGCCTTCGGTAATCCTCCTACCCTTCACCCTCCCTGATCCAATCCCCAGCTCGGGTCCAAATCCCTAACTGTCCAGCGCCTTGTGACGTCTTATCGACATGAAAGTTGCTGTGTAAATGTCATTTGTTGTTGTTGAGGGATATTACAGTTCGTGGGTCAGTGTGTCCACACCGGCTGGATCAGCTTACCTTAGATAAGGTGGTTGACTATTCTGGTTGGAAGCAGACGAGTTGACTGTGGGTGGCATAGATCGCAATGGGCCGATCTGATCAGGGCCTATGTACCCCTGACCAGGTATGACCTGGGAGATGCCCCCAGGCATGTACGTGCCACTCTGGGCTTGTCCCGGGTAAACCTGCACACAACACAAACAAAACTTCTTACCATTCGTTGTTTAGCCCACAATTAATAATGATAATAATCCTTGCATTTGATACAGCGCCTTATCATGTCATTGAGATGTCTCAAAGCTCTTCACAGGATACACTGTAAAGTGAATTGACTGTATATTTTGTGGGACAAAGGCAGTAGCCAATTGCGCGCAGCACTCATGGATTGAGTGACCACATTTTATTTGGGGTGGGGGGATTTGGCCAGGTCACTGAGAGAGAGAAAGAAATGCCATTCTCCTCGCGAATTAGTGCCGCAGGATCCATCTGAACAGGCAGACGGGATCTCACATTGATGAGACGTCTCAAATCACTCCACAGAACACTGTAAAGTGGATTGACTGTGCATTTTGTGGGCAAAACGCAGCAGCCAACTGTGCACAGCAATGGTGGATTGAGTGACTAACATTTTTTAATGATCCTCACATTTGCTCCAAGGGAGATCTCAACAGCCACATAGCATACAAACCTGCATAGGAACAGAAGCAGACTGTTGTGCATAGAAAGCCTGAGCCTGTGCCTGAGACTGACCAGGACCTTGCGTGTGAGGCTTAGAGTACATGGACGAGTACATGGGCACATCATTCATCAACTTGTTACACAGCTCCAAGGCTTCCAAAACCTTCACGTTCAGCTCGGAAAGCTCAGAGTGCTTCCTGAGGGAGAGAGCAGTTACACACTGGTCAGGCTATAGCTCTTTTTTTTGTCAGGAAATGATTCATTTGCGATGCAAGGAAGGACAGAGGTTTTGACATACAGAACCACGATACAGGGTTGCAACATATTCAGTGCCACAACTAGGATTTCAGTCATTACAATGTCCACAAACGATAAGGCCTGAAGTAGTTGTGAGTGCAATTTATAATAATACTTGCATTTGATATAGTGCCTTATCTCAACGTTGGGACGTCTCAAAGTGTTTCAGAGAGCTGTACTGTAAAGCATACTGTATACTGTAAAGTGTAGTGACTGAATTTTTTAGGTGATTTGTTACAAACAGCAGGGAAAACAAAAGCATTGGACATCTTGTCTGAATTCCTACCTGTCAATTTCTTCCAGCTTTTCATCAATAATGGGTCCCATCTGTTGACAGACATCTGACAAATAAGAGAAACAGTATAAATTAAAATCAGTACCCTGATCAGATCAGTACTGCACCTGAAAGGCTGGCTGGGCAGCACAGTATCAACGTGTTTGTTTCAGATCCTTTGTGCGTGCGTGCGTATGGGTGTGGGGTGTCTGTCTATCTGTCGGGTGATATCAGCCTGTTGCTCAGTTAACTGCTGTCGCCTCAAGAGTCTGAGGGTTATGGGTTCAAGCACATATCCTCACTGGAGCTCGTCGTCTAGGCTAGTCCAGCCTTTTGGTTGCTGAGGGCCGGGTGCCCTATTTGAGAAATTTTTTTTTGTTTGTGTTTCCCTTGGAGAAACATAACATTTACAGGTTATAGAGGGAACAGGCGGGCCAGATGAAATGGGGGGGGTGGTGGCGGGGAGGGGGAGAAAAGCAGATGATGAAAGCCGGTTGTACCACTCTGCTTGAGGCCGATGCTCCAATGCAGTAATGGGGAAAGTAATGCATTGTCGAAGGTGCTGTCTTTCAGACATTAAAGGTCCTGACTACTTTTTGAGGGGAACATTAACTTTTGCCCCATTATTGTATACATTTTAAATAACTTGCTTGCATCAATTAAAGGAACAGGAAACATAATTCTGCAACTACACTGTAAACGGGAAGTTGTTTAAATGACAGTTTCAAGATTTTCAAAAGGGATAAGATTTCCACAGAAGCTTTTTTAAAAAAAATATTAAGAAATGTTGATCAATGTGAAGGACTTGAATTCCTAAAAAAAAAAATCCTAAAAGAAATATAGAAACAAAGAATCTTGCAGCACAGAAGGAAGCCATTCGGCCCATCATGCCTGCTCTTTGGAAGAGCTACCAACTAGTCCCACTCCCTCGCTTTTTCCCCATAGCCTTGCAATTTTTTTTTCCTTTTCAATTATTTATCCAATCCTTTTTGAAAGTTATTATTGAATCTGCTTCCACCACGATCAGGCAGTGCATTCCAGATCGCAACAACTCTCTGGGCAAAAAAAAATTCTCAACTCCCCCTTGTTTCTTTGGGCAAGAATATATAATGAAAGCATCACAAAACAGTTTTAGTGCATGATATAAAAGAAGTAGGCTATGGCTTCCTTCCTCCCCCAAGCCCTATTGTGGAGTATTGGTGCCTTTGATGCTCAGAGTGAATTACCTTCCAGGTGGAGCAGACCTGGGGAGTCCAGCTCCTGAATGGTGGGGTCTGCGTTCTGCAGCAACTGCAACACCTGGTTCATCTTTTCCTGTAAAATTAAATGGGAGTTGGTTTAGATCCAGTTCTGAGCAGGTGTAGCTGTCATCACACAACACTGCCTGTCACTAAACACTGAAATGGTCATCTCCGTTGCAGACTAGTTACTGTCTCAGAGGGAAGGCACTGCCCACAAGCTCAGCTATATCAGCAAAGCTCACAAACTGTAATTAAATGAGATGGCTACTGCACTCATCTACAGAAACAGTCACTACACTTTACAGTGCTTAGAAACAGTTTAAGACCGTGCAACCTCTTTCTATTATTTGCCACAAACTACACAGTCACTGCACTTTACAGTAAATCTTGTGAAGATTACTGTAAATAATAAGCTACTAATAATAATTTGGTCGCTCAATTTCATAACTGTTGTGGGACACTGCTGTGTGCAATTAGCTGTTACGATTTGCCCACAAAATACAGTCAATTCACTTTACAATATATTCTGTGAAGCGCTTTGAAACGTCTCAATGATGTGATAAGACTGTATCAAATGCAAGGATTATTTTTATTATTATGAAAATACAGCAAAGGTATTTCCATCTTAAACAAAGTGAAACTGAACACAAAGTAAAAGTCTCATCGATAGATTTCATGTTAGAGACACAGACCTCGTCTATATAAACCGGCTCAGGCTCGGACGGCTGTAGTTCTTGTATAGCCGTTTCCTCCACCACTACCGGCTTCTCTGCAACCACTGTGAAAAACACAAGGGAAATAGCTTCAGAAGTCATTAAAGCGTCCACACACATTTTACACTGCACTGGTAAACAGTTCATTCAGTCCCTTTATTGGCTCAATCTTAGATATCTTAATCCAGTCTTCCTGCCGCATTTCTGCATCTATGGACCATGTGGTGAAGAAACATCTCCTGACCTCACTTTGAACCCATTTGGTAGAAGACCTCTAGTTCCCTTATGACAGGGGAATCTCTAACAGGTTTTCTAACATCTCTGTAACCACAGAGCAAGTGATAACAGGAAATTCACATAAAACATCAACCAGACTTCATCATCGTAATGCAACTTAACAAAAAAAAACAGGAGGGGATATTTACATCATGGCTCTTAAAGCTGTAAAATTCACCTTTTGGGGTACGGGGGCGTTTCATTGATTTCCCTCTCCCTGAAAGGTTGCCACCCAAACAGCTCCTCAGTGGAGCTCTCTGATTAAAGTGCTGCTGGTCATAGGAACATAGGAGCAGGAGTAGGCCATTCAGCCCCTCGAGCCTGTTCCACCATTTTATTAGATCATGGCTGACCGGTACCTCAACTCCAATTATAAAAGGTCATGGAACAATAGGAATGTATATATTCCAAAAGCTGGCATCCACGAGTCAGAAGGGCACAAAGTGATGGGACAATGTGGACATGGAGAACAGTGTGGTGGGAGTGGAAGGAGGTCTGACCAGTTTGATACAATAAGCATCCAAAGGACTTCCCTCCCCAGTATTCCCTGGAGGAGTCTCTTACCTGTTTCCGGCTCTGCATTTAGGCTGGTTGACACAAAATTTGAAGGGAAAAGACCGACTCCTCTGCCCGTCTCGCCTTTCCACCAGTTTGGGTCACTGTACAGAACAAAACATGGCTGCTGTTACCTGGGCTGTGCAAACCCAGACATGACCGTGCCTGCCCATCAATTTACACGTAGCTCAATTTAGTCTCTGTTTGATGCGGTTTATGAAATTGGCCAAATCTGGTATAAAAACATATTCATCTCGTTAATCCAAACCATCCCACATTAGGAATTAAGAAAGAGCACAAGTAATGTGAGAATGTTATAACTTAGCATGATCCCCTTTGGTGTTCGAGTGATGGGAGGCATACCTGTCATCTAAAATGGTGATGATTTCTCCAGCTTTGAAGGTAAGCTCGTTGTCCTCAACGGCCTCAAAGTCGTACAAGGCACGGACCATGCGGACCTCAGTCATGCGGCTGTTATGAAAGCTGTCTGCTGTAGGGTACAGGGATTTGGTCTCCACCTGCTGTTGTGGTTTCTGCTCCTGCAAAGAAAGTTCAATAGCTAGAAAGGAAGAAAAACAAGATGTTAACTTCTGTCTGTTACTTAATGGGCCAATTACACCCTTTGCCGTTAGTCAAAAGAACATACAGTTTCCAGGACAAAATAAAACCCCTCATTGCCATGGAATACTTTGAAAAGCTACTGAACCCAATGCTGGCTCAGTCGCTGTAACTCTCAACCCTGGGTCAACAAAAGTTTGGGTTCTGGCTGCTGCAATGTTGGAGCTGCCGTCCTTCAGATGAGACATTAGGACCAAGGTCCCACCTGCCTGTTCTCGGGGTCATGGCCCACGTGAAGGTTATCTAAAAAAAAAATGCATTAAAGACAATAATGGATTGACTGCGTATTTTGTGGGAGAAATGCAGAAACCGATTGCGCACAGTTGTGTTCCACAAACTGTCATGGATTAAGTGACCATTTGGTCCTCTTTTTTGGAGGGATAATTACTCCTGGAAAACAATCCACTAGTTGACTAACAACCGGGTTCCTACCTACTGCTGGGTAAACAGAGGCATGTGGAGTAAGGAAACTTGCCAAAGGATTCGTGCTACCCGGGAATCAAACCCAAATCGTCTAATCAAACCCAGATCCACTATTCTACAGGACTCCACCCAGGTCTGCTTGAAACTGCACTCCAGTGCCAAATGGCAGAGACGGACCCACCTTGAGTTGGAAACTGTCCACCCGTTCCCTTGATGGCAAATGTCATCTTTTTGTTTTTTAAAAAAAAGTGAAAGATCACATTAATTGTTCTTACCTTTAGCCAGAGCCTCTTCTTCAGCATTTCTAGCAACAGGTGCAGTGCCATTTTTGGAGGGTTTTGAGGTGCCCTGGTTAAAAAGGTTTGAGAGGTTATTTGTTCGGAACATTCCTTGCCCAACGTTCCTCCAACAATGCGAAGTGTTGATAAACGTCACCTCCCACCGGCTTGGTGTTGTGCTCTGCCACTGTCTGGGACGCTACCCTACGTGAGGGGTGCTATAAACATGCAAATTGTTGTTGTAGTTTGCCTTGGCTTCTCATAACTTTTTCTTTTGGGAGCACCTACCGTTTGTAATGCAGTCTCCACCCCCCACACACACCGTTACTTCTCTAACAGAATTCCTGAGACTCCTGCAACCCAGAAGCCAACTGACCAAGGGCACTCTTGGCTGCTCGACATCAGATTCTGGAACCTTCTGCAGCAGCTCGTGACAAGTGGCAAGTGCTGCATGTCCACAACGCCTTGTACAGTCTTCCCATCAGAACAAAACGTCTCAACCTACCACAGGCATTTCCAAACATATCAGAAGACAAGCTGCCCCTTAGACAACAATTACACAGTAACAAAGGACGAGTGAGTGTCAAGTGTAATGACATTAAAGATAACAGGGAAGCTAAATACTCCTAAGACAATTAAATAGACAGATGTAATTACAGGCCCTTGAAAAACACTTCAATTCAGAGGATGGTACCTGAGAGCTGGCCGAGGGGAATGACACACCATCTTCTTTAAGAGCTTTGATGGTGGCCGTGATGAGGCTAAGCTGAGCGTCCTTCTGAAACTCCTCCGACCATTCAACCATGAGCGCCTTCAGCTTCTCACACACTTTCGGGTGAACCTGAATACAAAGAAGAGTAATGGTATAAGTAAATGGATTGTTCCTCAGTTACCACAGGAAACGCCTGCCTCCTTGATGTGAAACACCCACAAAAAACAGCCACTTTACAAAACTGTATTTACTGTAAAATGTTTGAAACACAAGGCAGTACAAAATAGCAAGTTTTAGGGGGGCTTTCGCACAAATAACATTGTCAAAACTATCAAAATGGGAGACTTTACAGAGCATGAATGAAAGTGGTCAGATTGTTGTCAGCATCTCATTACTAATGTGGCTTTTCTGTTCAGATACTAGTAACTGAAGCTCTGAGAGTTTGACAGGAACAGTTACATACATTTGAGCAATCAGGCAAGTTGCTAAATACTAAGTGTCATATTAAGGAAATGAGTATTATCACAATGACAGATCAGATGGGAAGCATCTTCCATATTTGAAGCAAACAACGCAAGGCCTGTAAAAGCTTTCCCGTTCCTCCACACTCCTCTCACATGTCTGTTTCTCAGACAAGAGTCCCATTACCTGCACGTTCCTTCCTCTGGAGATTAATGTAAAATATGCGTAGATGCGCTCTTCACAACATTCATTGTTGACCAGCAACAGTATACAACCCTTACATTTGATATAGCTTCTACAACATAAAAAATTCTGAGAGCACAGTATATCAAATGCAAAGAATATTATAACTACAACATTCATTATAAATCCACCCGATTGATAAGCCATTTACAAGCCACTCAGATTTACTGTACCTTATTATACACACTTAATAAATTGCTAGCTTCAGTCGTGAAGTCACGAGAACAAATCTCCAGGTGAAAGATCTTCCCACAGTTCGATACACAGGCACCCAGTAACTGCAAGATTGGGGTAAAGAGAGAAAAGTTAATTTCATTTTCTGTTAAGGTGAAAGTAAATGACAGGGAAGAAAGAGAAGACAACATTCTTTGAATAACGTGGGAAACTTACATCATCAACTGATCTGACCTTTGGAGGAAGAGATAAAATACAAGTGTGGTCACTGGAGATCGGCTAGTTTTACCATGTCACAAGCTGTTAGTGGTTGTCAGAGTTCTCATTCAGAAAATACTGAAGCAACAACAAGAGATGACATTTACAGTGCCTTTCACGTTGGAAGGACATCCCAAGCCGCTGGACAGTCAGGGATTTAGACCCGAGCTGCGGCTTGGGATCAGGAGGGCAGGGAGGGTTGCGGTAGGAGGGTGACCGGAGGCATGGTCAAAGAGGAGGGTCTTGAGATGGGTCTTGAAGCAGGCAAGGGAGCAAGGCGAAGGGACTGTGGGATGGAGTTCCAAAGGACGGGGGCAGAAAGGCTGAAGGCCAACCAGACACCTGGAACAAACTTAATTCAAACAAGAGAGCTTGCATTCCCCTACTTCATGAAAAACACCTTCAATGGGGTTCCCGCTACTGAAAGTCACAGGGACAGCCAACCAAAGAACTACTCAGTAAATACTCAAACACATGGTACTGCTATAGGTACGAAATATAGGAAACTGGGCAAAGCGAAAAACACCATGTTTTCACAGTGAGCAATGTAGGAAGTGGCAAAAAGAGACTCACCGTTAATGCCTTCATTGCCACGTGAGGATTTTTGTGAGTCACTCTCTTCATGATAGCTTTCAGACAATCTTTGGGCCTAAAGTTAATAGAGCAGGACAGAAACGTACATGGTTCACACTGAAATCCACATGGAATTCCTCAAAGGACTACAGTAATGTATTATAGCGTGTACAAGGTTTATAATCTCCTGGCAGAAGCTAATGGTTCCTTACCCAGTTGGCGTCGTCCCAACCCGATCACAAATGTCCATGATGAGTGTCCAATCCTCACTGGTGTTGTGCTCATTTGTAACTTTCTCTGAGGGAAAAATAGGGCAGGTTAGTGCCATCCGAAGGCAATGGGATTTTAGTGCCAACAATGACTTTAAGTGTATATCAACAACAAAATGACATTTGTAACGCGCCTTTCGCGTCAGGAGGACGTCCCAAGGTGCTGAACAGTTGGATATCAGACCTGAGCGGGGTTGGGATGAGGGAGAGCTGAATGGCGGCTGAAGGCACAGTCGAAAAGCAGCGTCTTGAGTCGTGTCAAGGCAGCATTACATCATTGAGAAGCGGAACTCTTGGTACCCGTAGTGTTAATATGGGCAAGACACAGGGTTAAATCAAGCCAGTTAAACTTTCATTCTGATTGGGCCTCAGGTATATAATAAAAAAATGTTGCATTTGATATAGCGTCTTATCAAATCTTCAAGTCACCTCAAAGAGCTTCACAGAATATACTGTGAAGTGAATCGAGTGAGACCAAATTATTTTTTTCAAGACATACGACACCCGGAAAGCCAATTGACTGACAACCGGGTTCCTACTTAGTGCTAGGTAAACAGAGGTGTGTGGAGAAGGAAACTATCCTCTTGTGCATCAATGTGGCACTTCACACCCCACAAACCAACCACTGAATTAGTGTCAAACTGTGGGCAGACTCTGACCACTGGCAACTAGGTTCCCATTATCCTTACTTATTTTATTCGTAGTGAAAACGAGAAGGTTGCACTGCAGGTCCCAAAGGTAAAAACAAAATGCTATTCCACAGTCTCTTCTCTCTTCTCTGCACTGCAAACCAGAGATGCAGATAAATAATACAGAACCATAGAAATTTATAGTACATCATCACTGTGACAGCTGCCTCAAGAGCAATCCTTTCAGTCCCACTTACCTGCCCTTTCCCCATATCCCTGAAGCTGCCTTTTTTAAAAAAAAATATTAAGGTACCAGGCGATTCCTGTCAAGTGTAGAGACTGTATCTGGGGGGAACTGATTCACAGTTCACTTAGTGCTAGACAGTCTTGCACCTGTGACTGTGTAACGCTGGTGCAGAGGCACCAGGAATAACTTGGCAAATCAAAGAGACAACATGTTCCAATAGTTCTTACTCTTGAGTCAGGCATCGAGTCACACACTAGTCACACGCCAGGGACAAAGTTCTGGCACGGTTCTCTCCTCAGGTAGACTGTTCAGATCCCTGGGGCTAAACAGTGAGTGGACACCTGCATTTTAATTATGCCACAGGATGTTTGATACGGTGGGCGACTCATGCCTCACACAAGTGTTTATTCTCTAACATTCAGAAGCTATTTTTTTAGTTATAAACATTTTAATTTGTTCGCTAGAAAAACAAATGATAGCACGTAAGGTAAACAAAAAAAGTCTGGTCTGAACTCATCATTTGTACAAAAAGGGGACTGGGTTGGGCGCAGAGTTAAAGAGGTTGAATAAACAACCCAACTATTTCATAACCACCAGCACTTGATCACAAACGATACATCCTGAAGATTTTATCCTTATTCCCCTTCGACAGGTGCCCTCTGCTATCTTGACCAACATTCAAGGGGGGACTGGGGGGGGGGGGGGGGGGGAAGAGAGCAAAATTAAAAAATGACAGCCAAACTGTTCCCCTCACACCCTGAGCTTACACCCTAAAAAATACCATTGGTATTCCCAACAACATAAGATTTTCTTAGTAATTTTCCCTCTGCTAAGCTGAGGTGCTGAAGCCAGTTGTAGCATTCTCACGGTGTCTTGGTTGAGGGCAGCAATCTTGGCACAGACTGAGGACCATAGTACACCCTGCCCTTTCAAACAACTTCTTCTCTGCCTGCGTTCAAGATCCTCCTTAACCATTTCTGACTGTGCTTATAGTCAATAAACGTAACTCTCCCTTCCCTTTTCCTGCTGGCTAGCACAATGTTAAGTTGTTGTCCTGGAACAGATTAACACATGCAAAGAGTCACCTTTAACTAAAGGAATATTGTGTTGAAAATGAGCCTGATAGCCAGCGGGGGTGGGGGGAGTTGCTCTAGCTTGTCAAAACTGGTTCTAGTTTAAAACGGGCTCATTAATGTTCTCACCTGCAGCACTAGCGAAAAAAAACAATCATTAAAGAGAAATTCTCGCCCACAATAAATTAACAATCAAAAACATAACCTCCTTAATTTTTTTTGCAGTGGTTTGTTAATTTTTGCTTAGAGCGAGTACTGCTATCAGGGGAACAGCTTAGAAGAGTTATTGAAAAGTTAGGCATAGGAAAGGGGGGGTAATGTCAGAAATGAACCCTCTGTTGCGGGCTTGGCAGTCAGTATTCCAGGATACTGCTGATAACAGACCAGTCACTGGGAGCAGGAATGATTCTTCAGTTCCTGTTAACCCTGCAAGCCAAAGCCCTGATGGTTAGGGTTCTCCCAGCTGGAAAGCTTGCCAGACAGCGATATGGATGGCAAGCTATGTGGTTTTAACTGGTTAAAATCCAGTAGAATCCCAATGCACATTCTGGGGTCCCCAAGCCTTGCAAATCTGCATCTAATACTCTACCCGACCACTCCCTCTATTCCGAAAGGCACTATATATTTTATATATACATTTTCTTATTGGTGTTCCAATCTTATGTTAGCTTTGAGAATCCTGCACAAGTTTCAATCTCCTGCTTCACGTTAACTGATCCCTATAAAAACTTGTTACCCTCTTATTTTGTTCAGGAAAAAATATAGAACTAGGCAATCAGGAGTATGTTGTCCTGGATATTGCTGTGTCTCCATGACAAAAAGAGCTGAACGTGTGATCAGCTGAGAGGATTCACAATAGAATCAGCAAATCCTCCCAAAATACCGATGAGATCATCAAAGCTTGCTCACTTAGGTCTTTCAAATGTGTTTGATGCAGTCTGTTAGCAGATATCAGCTGAGGCACCATTCAGCAAGTTACAATTGGCCACAGTGCCTTAGGTTAGGGAGAGAAAGCTACAAGAAAATGCCATTCTCAGACCATAACTTTCAAAAACCAAAGTCAGCCTATTTACATGTACTTCCTTCGGAATAGAGGGAGTGGTAAGGTTGCAGAGAGGTAGGGTGGGACGAGCCCACGGGGGGAAAACAAAATTGATCTGAAGGGTAGCCAACATAACCGAGCGAGGATGGAGGTGATGGGCTCACAGAATTTTGTGCGGGAGACAACATGAGCTGCACAGTTCTGGATGGTGCAGCTCATGTTGAGTTAAGTGCTCTGGGACACTACCCTACATGTGGGGTGCTGTATAAATGCAAGATGTTGTTAGTCTCCCCACAGAGCTGGGGGACACCAGTGAGACTGTGTTGCAACATGTTGTGCAATTGGATTGCAATGTGACCTCAGGTGGAAACCCTTCCCAGAAGTTACATTTTGCATTCCACAGAAGAAGACTAAAGGCTGAGAAACTAGAAGTTTGAATATTATGGCGGCAAACAGGGTAAAGGCTGAATTTTGTTCCACCAATGTCTCTACAAATGTAAGTTGCCAATTTACTTGAATTTGGGGTAAATTTGAATGACAAATGAAATATCAACAACAAATTATATACACAGGGCGTTTCATCTTGAGGACATCCCAAGGTGCTGGACAGTCAGGGATTTCTACCTGAGCTGGGGTTTGGGATCAAGAGCAGGGAAGGTAGGGGTAGGAATGTGACCAACAACAAAAACAAGATTTCATTTATAGAGCACCTTTCACGTCGGGAGGGCGTCCCAAGGCGCTGGACATTTGGGTCGGGACCCGAGCAGGGGGGGAAATGGTCAGGGTGAGGGGAGGGAAGGAGCGAGGAGGGGGGTAATGGTCAGGATGAGGGGAGGGAAGGGAGGGAGCGAGTAGAGAGTCGAGAGGAGAGCTGAAGGCGCGGTCAAAGAGAAAGGTTTTGAGACCGGCCTTGAAGGAGGAAAGGGAGGAGGCGGCGAAGGCACTGGGGATAGAGTTCCAGAGCCTCGGGGCTGAGAGGCTGAAGGCCACCGATGGTAGGGCGGTTGGGGCGGGGGATGTGGAGCAGACCAGAGCCAGAGGAACGGAGGGTACGGGCAGGTAGGTAGGGGGATAGTAGGTCGGAGAGGTAGGAGGGAGCGAGGCCGTGAATGGCCTTGTAGGTGAGGATGAGGATCTTGAATTCGATCCTCTGGGGGATGGGGAGCCAGTGGAGACGAACACATTTGAAGAGAAGGGTCTTGAGATAGAACAGGAAGAAAAACTCCACACATCTTTAAAATAGGAGGGGGGGACTAACATTCAGCCCATTATACATAACACACCGAGGACCTACATTTACAATACAAATTATAATTCAATTTAAAAACCTACTGGACTGGGGGTATTGCAATAGCATTTTAACATACACTCTTCACTGTTAAAACACACGTACAATATGACACAGTTGCCCAAACACCCATCCATCTAGACTAACCGGTTAAGCAACAACATTATTTTTTTATATATACCCATCGACATAAATGAAGTTGAATATTTTAGATGATGAAATGGAAATAAACTGAACCATGGAAGTGAACGGATAATTTTCTATTGTGAGGACAGGGACCCAGAGAGAGAGAGAGAGGACAGGGACCCACACACACAGAGAGAGAGGGGACAGGGACCCACACAGAGAGAGAGGACAGGGACCCACACAGAGAGAGAGGACAGGGACCCACAGAGAGAGAGGGGGGACAGGGACCCACACAAACACAGAGAGAGAGAGGACAGTGACCCACAGAGAGAGAGAGAGAGGACAGGGACCGACACAGAGAGAGAGAGGACAGGGACCCACACAAACACAGAGAGAGAGGAGAGAGAGGACAGGGACCGACACAGAGAGAGAGAGAGAGGACAGGGACCCACACAAACACAGAGAGAGAGGGGACAGGGACCCACAGAGAGAGAGAGAGGGGACAGTGTCCCACAGAGAGAGAGAGAGGGGACAGAGACCCACAGAGAGAGAGAGAGGGGACAGGGACCCACAGAGAGAGAGAGAGAGAGAGGACAAGGACCCAGAGAGAGAGAGAGAGGACAGGGACCCAGAGAGAGAGAGAGAGGACACGGACCCAGAGAGAGAGAGAGAGGACAGGGACCCACACAGACACAGAGAGAGAGAGAACAGGGACCCACACAGAGAGAGAGGGGACAGGGACCCACACAGACACACAGAGAGAGAGAGAGGGGACAGGGACCCACACAGAGAGAGAGAGAGGACAGGGACCCACACAGACCCAGAGAGAGAGAGGACAGGGACCCACACAGACCCAGAGAGAGAGAGAGGACAGGGACCCACAGAGAGAGAGAGAGAGAGGACAGGGACCCACACAGACCCAGAGAGAGAGAGAGGACAGGGACCCACACAGACCCAGAGAGAGAGAGAGGACAGGGACCCACAGAGAGAGAGAGAGAGAGAGACAGGGACACAGAGAGAGAGAGAGAGAGGACAGGGACCCAGAGAGAGAGAGAGAGAGAGAGGACAGGGACCCAGAGAGAGAGAGAGAGAGGACAGGGACCCAGAGAGAGAGAGGACAGGGACCCACACAGACCCAGAGAGAGAGAGAGGACAGGGACCCACACAGACCCAGAGAGAGAGAGAGGACAGGGACCCACAGAGAGAGAGAGAGGACAGGGACCCACACAGACACAGAGAGAGGGGGGACAGGGAGACACAGAGAGAGAGAGAGAGAGAGGGACAGGGACCCACACAGACACACAGAGAGAGAGAGAGAGGGGACAGGGACCCACACAGACACAGAGAGAGAGAGAGAGAGGGACAGGGACCCACACAGACACACAGAGAGAGAGAGAGAGGGGACAGGGACCCACACAGACACAGAGAGAGAGAGAGAGAGGGGACAGGGACCCACACAGACACACAGAGAGAGAGAGAGAGAGAGAGAGGACAGGGACCCACACAGACACAGAGAGAGAGAGAGAGGGGACAGGGACCCACACAGACACAGAGAGAGAGAGAGAGGGGACAGGGACCCACACAGACAAAGAGACAGACAGACAGACGCACAGAGACCCCGCACTGGACTCACCGACATCTTGGTCGAAGGGGTTGTTGGTGAAGAACGGCATCGCTGCGGCCGGTGTGGAAGCTCCTCCCGTCCGTCCCGTCCCGTCCGTCGGTCGGTGCGTCCGTCCGTCCGACTCTCCGTCGACGGGGTGAGGCTGCGGGGAAATATGGGGCCGACGAGAGAGGAACAACAGAGGCGGGAGGAGGAGGAGGAGAGGAGAGGCCTAACCCCCCGGGCTCTAACCCCGCGCTGTCGCCGCCGCCGCCGCCGCCTGACTCATGCTAACCGGCGGCTCCGGGCCTCGGGCCTCCTCACCTCACCCGAACCTCCTCACAAAGCACGGGCTCCCCCCCCGGGGGGTGTGGGGGGTGAGGGGGGAGTGTGTGGGGGGTTCTCCTCTCCCACCGACTCTCGTCTTTTCGAATAAATTTTGAATTTCAACCGTCTGTTTTCAGCCGTTGACGGTGACGGTGTTGTTGTTGTTGTTTTTCGGGGGGGTCGGGGGAGGAGGGGGGCGTCGGGAAGGCTAATTTATTAGGGACACTCCCCGGAGAAGGAGAAACGTTAAGTCGAAGAAGAAGAAGAAGAAGAAGAAGAAAAAAAGAAGGAAAGTAAGTAAATAAATAAAAAAAGTCGGCGGCAGATCAGGTGATTCTCTCTCACTCACTCACTCACTCCCGGACTGACTCTGACTGACTGAAGCCGCGACTCCCGCCTCAACGGCGCCACCCCTCGGCGCCGCGCGTCTCGGCTGACCGTCACCTCTTGGACGCGTCCGCCGTCTCGTTGGCAGCGACGGCAGCCCCTCCCTCCCTCCCCCCCCCACTCCCTCCACGCTCAAAACAGCCCAATTCTGACGTCACCGGGGCGCGCGTGGAGCCCGGAACAGTAGCCCGAGATGACGCGTTGCCTTTCTGCGAACCTTGGGCTATTTTGGGGGGCGGGGAAGGGGCGGGGCTTCAAGCCGAGGCGGCGCAGTTCCCAGTCAGCCCGCCTAGGGGGCAGCACCGAATGTGGCGCAGCACCAACCGCCAACCCGGTGACAGTTGGATCGGCAGCAATGGCGGGGGTGATGGAGGCGGGACGCGAGAGCCCGTGCGGCCCGGAGCAGAAGAGTTGGGCCCACGACGCTCCCCAGAAGCGGAGGAGAGGCCCGGGAGCCGTGGCCACGGCCTACATGATCGTCTACAACGTGGTGATGACGGCCGGGTGAGGGAGGCGCGGGAGTGGGGGGGGGGGCTCCCGCGATCCCGGGGAGAGAGAGAGGGGAGAGAGAGGGGCTGGGGGGACCGTCTCTAAATCACACCCCGGGGCTAAAAGCGCACACACATGGTCATCCCGTTTTCCCTTAAAATCAATCGGTGGCTCCGAGAAGGGCTGTGGTGTGTGTGTGTCTGTATAATAACTGAGCGGGGGGCTCTCCCCCCCCACCCACCCCCCACCCCCGGTCTCCGGGAGCTTCGAGTCGTGGCGCACCATCGACCGACGGTCCCTTAAGGGTTGGGTTGAGGGGCAATGTGCAACGGAGAGGCTTTGGTGCCTCTTTGGAGGAGCGTTGCGTTGGTGGGGGTCGCAGTTGCAGATGCATTGAGGAGGGTTGGGGTGGGGGGGTCCCAATTAGTGTTGCAATGCAATGATTTAACCCCCACCCACCCCCTGCCCCACCCCCCCCTTCTCTTTCCCCCCCTCCCTCCCCCCCCACCCCCTCTTCCTCCTCTCCCATTCCCCCCCCCCCTCCCTCCCCCATCTTCTTTGAACCCCTTTTCCAAACCCAACCCCAAAGTGACCTCAAAACGAGATGCGTTCACTCTCGTCTCACCCCCAAGAGGCGAAGGAGAAGGAGAGAAGGAGAGAAAGAAAATGGCATTGCATGTCACCAATGTTTGGTGTTGCAATGCAATGACTTTTTTTTTATATACACACACACCACACACACACACCACACACAGACACACCCTTAATCGCTTCCCCTCTTTCCCTTCCTCTAACCCCCCCCCCCCCCCCCACCAGCAAAACCGTGTAATAAATCGAGTCAAAAGGAAGAATAACCTGCAAGCACAGTACTTCTATGGTGCTTCTATTTTTAGGCTTGTATTTGGGTTATTGCAGGGATTGGTGTCAAGTGGGACAGGACCAGAGTAAATCCCAGGCAAATGCTTTTAATACATGTGGAGGCTGCACAAATGTAGGGCAGTTTCAGGACAGACGCTCGGAAGCATTTTCTCTACGCAGGAATCGCTCTCCCGGCGCCCTGACCAACCATCTCCCACCCAAATGAAAATAAAATTGGCCGCTCGATCCACGACCGTTCGTAGGTCAGCGCCGCGTGCGAGTTGGCTGTCGCCTTTCACCCGTGAAATGGAACAGTCCGTCCGCTTTAAGGTCTATTCCGTGAAGCGCTGTTGAGACGACTCGACGGCGTGACGAGACTCCGCAGCAAATGCGTGGGTTATTATTAATTGACACCAGGAAGGGGGGGGGGGGGTGTGGAGGCCACAACGCTGAAGTCAGTTAAGAAACTGGCTCCGTGCTGTAAATGGGAAAATGGGAGGGCGGGTGTTCTGCAAAGATAAGATGAAATGGGCTGAAGGAATTTATTAAGTTGCACCTTCCTTGTGCTTGATAAGGGGTGAAAACCTTTGTACAAACCAGATATCAGAGCTGTTGCACTTTATCCTTAAAAACACGCAGGGACCAACCCTGTGAAAGTAAGAGCCTATCACAATGCTGCCATTTTCTCCAGAGCGGCAAACTTACAATAGAGCCCTGTTCTAACGTGGGAATTGAAGGGAGGAGATCAAATCCCAACCGGATAACTGGTTCATCAGTTGGCGCTTTTAATGCCGTGACATCAGTTGATCCCATGATGGACATCTCTGTACACATGCGCAGAAAGTTGCGTTAGAAAATGAAAGCTTCCCGAACATGGCCAACTTCTGAGTCTTGAGGGGAGCCCAGAGTGTGCGTTGGGGTAACTGCTGGAGTCTAACCAGATAAAACTGCAAAGCTGCAAAGCCAATGTGTCATCCAGAGAAATGCCGATCGCTGTAATCAGAAACAAAGGTAGGGCCAAAATCTTCATGCCCAACCGTGGTTGGGGGAGTGGGGGTGACGGAGAGAGAAAGGGGAGTATTCAGCCTTGAAACCACTTGAAATCACATTCGCTTTAACTTCAGAATTTTTTAATGGATTCAAGGTGTAATGGTATCAAATCAGAGCAAAGGAGCAGAGGTGGGATGAGATTACGATGGCTTCTTGGAGGGACAAACATGTGCACCAAAAACCATGCCAATGGCCTCCTACTGTTTTGTACGGCTATGAAAAGGATGCAGCATTGCAGAGTCACGTGTAACACGTCTCATGTGATTGCCTTTCAGGTGGCTGGTCATCGCAGTGGGGCTGATTCGAGCCGGGCTGGCCAAGGGCACTTACCACGGTCTCTATTATTCCATAGAGAAGCCACTGAAGTTCTTCCAGACGGGAGCCCTGCTGGAGGTGGGTGATGTGCCAGCTTGGGCCTGTCGCTGCCCATCCCAACTGCGCTCTCCTTTGGCACCAACTGGCAGCAAATGTAGCGCGAGTGGGACGAGATGGGGGAAGAGAACAGAAGCCAGTCTCTTCAGTCTTGAAAGGGCTGCAGTTTTGGCAGCAGTCCGTCCACATACCCCCTCCTCCCCACCCCCCCGATTCCTGCAGTTGAATAGATTCCTGGCACTCACTGGCTGTACTCTTACACGTGGAGTCATGTAGCGTAGTGGTTAGAGCACTCGCCTCTCAAGCAAGAGGACCCAGGTTCGATTCCCAGACAGAGTGAAACCATACGCAAGTTTCTTTATTCTACATGCCCCTGTTTACCTAGCCGTACCGCTCGTCTCAGAGAGGAGAGAATCTTATGGAGGTGTATAAAATGCTGAATGGGATTGAGAGAGTAAAGCCAGAGCAAAGACGCAGAAGGGCGTCTGGTGTCTTGGCAACCAACAGAAAGCTGCTGTGCCCTTACTGACCGGCCCGGAAGCACTGACGAGCAGCCACGTTTAGAGCTCCCCCTTATACCATGCGTCCTGAGTCCATGGCCCTCACGTCACTGCGGTATAACGGGAGTTGGCCTGTGCTATTACTAGTGGAAGGAAAGTGCTAGGAATTTTCAGGTTGGGGGTGGGGGGGGGGGGTGAGGAATGCTGCCTGTGTGCGCTGTTCCAATGCACTGCAACAAGCAAGCCCGCTTCAAGGTAAAATCCGTGCGAGTTCCAATAGGATCGAGTGGATTGTGGGAGGAATTCTCCCCCGCCCTTAACCAGCTGTAAATGCCAATTGCACCCCGTGATCCCTCACACTGAGAGAGAGCCCTCGTGTGCTGTGTTACGGAAGCGCGGGTTTGAATCTATTATCAGGCTGTCTATCCGGTATGTGATTGAGCCGTACAGAGCCTCTCCATGCCCAGTCTGTGCCGAGTTGACTCGAAGTCAGCTGGGAGAGGTCGCTGCTATTGACCTCTGCACCTCTGGCTGGGAAAGGCAAGCATCAGTTTGGGTTTCTGCCACCGAGCGGACTATCCAGTCATAACCATCCCTTTCCCAGGGCTGGGATCTGTGCATGAGAGGAGCCTAGGTGACCACACACACAGACACACACACACCACACACACAGATGCACACACAGACACAAAACAAACACACTACACACACACACACACACAGACGCACCATAGTTTTGATTTACTTTTAAGAACAGGGATGTGGACTCTCGAATATTCAGTTGGTCACTCAATCCACGGCTCTTTGTGGGGACGCTGCTGTGCGCAATTGGCTGTCGCGTTTCGCCCACAAAGCACACAGTCGATCCACTTTACGGTGTATCCTGTGAAACTCTTCGGTACTTCTCGAAGACGTGATAAGGCGCTGTATCAGATGCAAGGATTATTATTATTATTAACCAAAACTAATTAGTGGGGAACCACTCTTAATATTTTCCTCTTTTTCTTCCAGATCCTTCACTGCGCTGTGGGTACGTATCTAGTTTTTTTGGTAAGAACAAGGCAATCGCATGTATTGAAAGATTGTCGTGAGATCACTCCACAGTTTATCTGCTTGACCAAATACGAGCTGCTTTTGGAGGGTTGGTGAATTTTCTGCTGTGAATCTGTTGCAGATTGATGGACATGCGGTCCTGGGGGTGGGAGAGAGAGGGAGGGAAGAGGGCAGTTTGATCGACACAACATCCTTATACCTCTAAGACGAGGATTTGAACCCAACTCGGGTTGAGAGAGTGACAATCTCTCTGCTTTCGGCCAAGCTCTTAGACACCATGTCCCCCTTCCCCTTTCTCTTCCAGTGGGCCTCTCTGTCTCTCGCCCCGCTTTCAAGAACCTCCTCATAAACTCTCCCCCTTTTGCTGTGCCCAAGTGGGGAGTTGGGATCAGGAGGAGTGGGGTGTGAGGGCGTGTGGGGGTAGGAGGGTGACCGAAGGCGCGGTAAAAGAGGAAGGTCTTGAAGGAGGCAAGAGAAGAGGGTGAGGCGATGGGAATACGGGATGGAGTTCCTAAGGGTGGGGACAGAGAGAGGCTGAAGGCTGACCGCTGATGGTGGGTCGGGCCGGGCAAGGGGTGTGGAGCAGGCCAGCATTTGCTGAGCGGAGGGAGCGGGCACGACAAACGTATGATATTTTTAAGTGTCCTTCTGTTTTACGTGTAAGAACTCCGTGATTCTGTTTCCACAGGGATCGTCCCATCCTCTGTGGTGCTGACAGGATTCCAGGTCATGTCACGAGTCTTCTTGACTTGGGCGGTGACCCACAGCGTGAAGCAGGTAAAACCAGGAGCTGCCTCAACACTGCAGCTCCTCTCTCTCTCTCCTCTCCCCCTCTCTCTTCTATCCCTCTTCTCTTCTCTCTCTTTCCTCTCTCCCCCTTCGCCCTCTCTCCCCCCTCGCCCTCTCGCCTTCTCTCTCTTCTCCCTCTCTCGTTTCTCTCCCTCTCTCTCTTCTATCTCTCTTCTCTCTCCTCTCTCTTCTCTCCCTTTCCCCCTCGCTCTCTCTTTCTCTCCGCTCCCCTCTCTCGCTGGCTCTAGTGTTAGCTCAACAACTTTCCTCTGTATAAAGTGCCGCGACCAAGGTCCATCTTTCTTTCCGCCTCGTGATCTTGCCCTCTCCGACCCCAACCTCGAATCCCGCCTGAAGACCTTCCTTTCTGATCGTGCTTGTAAGGTCACCTCCCCCACTCCTTCTCTCCTTGGCTCGGGGTCAGACGCCGCCACTGTCAAGCGCTCCGGGAAGCTACTCCGCATGAAGGAGTATGTAGCTGTAAGTTGTTGGTCTTTGTCAGGTTCAGAACGAGGACAGCGTGCTCCTGTTTGTGGTGGCCTGGGCGGTTACCGAGATAGTCCGCTACTCCTTCTACACCTTCAGTCTCCTCAACCACCTGCCCTACCTCATCAAATGGGCCAGGTAAGCTCACAGCAAGCCGGGCGCCACCACTGACACCATTTACACTCGAGGACTTTGATATTGCATCTTGTCGCACCGTTGAGACGTCTCAAAGCGCTTCGCAGAATATACTGTAAATAATAATAATATTCCTTGCATTTGATATAGCGCTTTTCACGTCTTCGAGCCGACCCACTTTACAGTATATCCCATGAAGCGCTTTGAGACGTCTCAACGATGTGATAAGGCGCTGTATCAAATGCAAGGATTATTATTATTATTATTATTTCCCTCTGCACACTGTCAACCATCTCTCTGTCAAACCCTCATGCGTGAAGAACGCCAGATAAACGCAAGTTACCACTTGGTTGTACTTCACTGGAGCGTTAGCTTAGCTCCTGAGCTCGAGGCCTGATGTGGGTCTGGAATCTATCATTCCGGCCAAGAGGCGAGAGAGAGAGAGAAAGAGAGAGAGCTGCTGCCTGAGCCAAGGTTACGGCGGGTGGTGGGGGAAGGTGACTTTAAGCACAGTCGAAGAGGAAGGTTTTCGGGCATGACCTGATGATGGGGGGAAGGAGGAGGATCGGGGGAAGAGAGTTCCAAAGCTTCGGGGGTGGGTGGGGGGGTGGGGTGGCGGGAGGGGGGGGTAGTGACTGGCTGGTAAGTTTGTATTGGTGATTTGTGTAGTGTCGGTTGATTGTCTTACCAGCAATGTGATCTTTCCACAGTACCACTGAGAGACTATGTGTGGGGGAGGCGGGCAACGCAATCTCCGTGCCCACCCCCCACCCGCCTCTGAGCGCTGCTCACCTTGGTAGGATTGGCATGTATCTCACATGTGTCAGCGGGAAAACTTCAGGGAGGACTGAGATCGCAGCACGCAGACAGCGTGAGAGTTGTTGGGGTCTGGAACGCACAGCCTTTTAAAGGCTGGTGGAAGCTGATCCGATAATAGCTTTCAAAAGGGAATTGGGTATTTACTTGAAAAGGAAAAATGTGCAGGGCAATGGGGTGGTGGGGGGTAAGAGTGGGGGAGAGGGACTAGTTCGATAGCTCTTTACAAAGAGCCAGCTCAGGCACGATGGGCCCGAATGGCCTCCTTCTGTGCTGTAAGATTCTATGACACTTAACGTTTTCAGGAGGATTTGAAAACATTCTCAGTTCCCAGGCTTCGACAGTCACCAGCAGCCGTCACAAGGCGAGGGCTTTGAAAACGGAACATTAGTCCTGTTTGCTCATTCGGCCCTGCATCCTAGGGGCCTGGAGTTTGGGGGGGTGGGGGGGGTTCGTGTGGGTGGGGGAAGAGAGAGGTTTATATGGGTCAAACCCGACCCCACGCCCCCCCACCTCTCTCCGCTGAGGTCTGCCCGCTATTGCATGCCAATAATAACCAGTTACATTTCCACAGCTGTGCCTTCTCACACACACACGTCAAAGACAGGATTGATGCCTCTTCATGGGACATGCAGCGAAAAGCCACTGACAGTCCGACCCCTTCCGTTCCCCTCTCTCCGTTCCCGGACTGTGACTTATATTGCTAGCGAGGGCTGCTCTTTGTGTGTGTGTGTGTGTGGAAGGGCGCGGTTCCTGTTACTAACTGTTTGTTGCCTGTTTACTTTGAATATGATGGGACAGCTAACCACAGCAATTTTAAGGTCAAACTTATTTTCCAGCATCGCCGTACCTGTATGTGTGTGTGTGTGTGTGTGTAGGTGCGGGTGTGTGTGTGGGGAAATTCAAGCCAATTTTCTGAATCTAACCTGTACCCAGGATGTCTCCTCACACACACGATGGAGAGAGAGAGAGAGAGAGAGAGAGCAGGGAATGGGGTTAGAGTAGAGAGCTCCAGTGGGGGAGTGAGCCCCAGCACAGACACGATGGGGGGAGAGAGAGAGAGAGAGAGCAGGGAATGGGGTTAGAGTAGAGAGCTCCATTGTCATTGACTCCGGTGCGGCAGATGGGGCTACGGTAAGGGATGTATAGGTTGCTTCTATTTTCAGCGATGATTTTTGCCACTGACAGTTTTGCTGGCGTCTGATATTAAAAGCCTTGTGTTTGCCAAACGGCTCCCGAGGGAAAATCCTAACCGCACGGAATTGGGCTGCAGGGTGTCGAAGGGAATACCTGGGAACGCTGGGCTGGGGTTTTGGGATCGGAGTTTAGCTTTGCACTAAATCCCTTGCCTCCTTGTCTCGTGCCAGGTACACGCTGTTCATCGTGCTGTATCCCATGGGGGTGACGGGCGAGCTGCTCACTATCTACGCCGCCCTACCACACACTCGGAAGTCCGGCCTCTATTCCATCACTCTCCCCAACAAATACAACTTCTCCTTCGACTATCACACCTTCCTGATCCTGGTCATGATCTCCTACATTCCAAGTAAGCAACGCGTCACAGAGCAGCGTCCCCCGTAGCGCTTGTGGCGTTCCATAGCGCAGTGTTCGGAGCGCTCGCCTCGCAAGCCAGAGGACCCGGGTTCGATTCCCCGGGCGGGTCAGGGTGCCGCGTTTCGCCCACAAAACATCCAGTCAAATCACCCGCCCTTGCCCCGTATCCCAGTATATTGTATGAAGCTCTTTGAGACGTCTCAACGAAGCGATAAGGCGCTGTATCAAACGCAAGGATGATTGTGATGTCAAACCCTGACGCCTCTCTCTCACTCTCTCTCTCTCTCTCTCTCCTCTCTCTCAGTCTTCCCACAACTCTACTTCCACATGTTCCGCCAGAGGAGAAAGGTGCTGCTCACTAGAGCAGAGAGCAAAAAGAGCAACTAGCTCCCACCGTCTTTACCCGAACATTACCTACTGGTTTCACTGGAGAACGTTCAGTTGTCAAATGAACCGTGCGATTTCTACGAAAACACCCAATTAATCTCAGACCAGGCCCGTGACCAATATTCTGCGTTTAAAGAGACAGTTCCCCCCCCCTTTTTGTTGACTTCCATTAGAGTTACGTCCAGGGTTATCTCATTGAACCATTACTTTAAGGGACCATAGCGGTGGTGGAGGGAGATTGGGGGGCGGGGGAGAGGAGCCCGATTCAGTTAGAATCTACTAAATGTATATTAACAGTGCTTGCTTCGGAAACCGTCTCCTTTGGGTTCGGCCACCAGTGTTGTGCTCAGTTCCTCAGTCCCACATCTAAATTCTGTGAAGCGCTTTGAGACGTCTCGAAGGTGTGATAAGGCTCCATATCAAACGGAAGGGATTATTATTATATCAAATGCGAGGATTAGTAGTAGTATTGTTACATTCCACCTTCGGTAGTGAATCGCTGGGACACGGGATGTAGTAGGCGGCCTGAGAGACTGGACACAGTTGAGGCACTAAAATAAACTCTGGGATATCGCACTGCAAAAAAAACAGGACACTGTCTCTTTAAACTGTGAATCGGGGGGGGGGTGGGGGGTCTTATTTGCGTCATTCGTGTAACCAAACAAACCTGTTTGTAGGCTTTCAGTTTGTGAATAACGGGAGGCGTTTTGGGAGATTTGAAGGGACCGACAGAGGGGGAATAAATCACCCAATGGAAGAATTAAAAAAACAACAATAAAAAGCAAATCTCTCGAATCGAATGCTTGACGACACTTGTAAACGGAGTAAATTTGGGAGCTGCTGATCTGAGCCCCCTTCTTTCTCCCCTTCTTTTCCCCCGCTCTGTCCCCGCGCCCCCCCCCCCCCCCCCTCCATCCGTCCCCCCACCATTTGTGACTCGCTGTTCTTTGCAAATTTCCCAATCCCCGGGCAGGGCAAAACCTTGGTCAAGTTTCCTTACTCCTCACGCCCTCTGTTTCCCGCGGCAGTAAGTCGGAAGCCGGTCGTTAGTCGATTGGCGGATCACTTTTCCGTGGGTGATAACCCCTTTAAAAAAATAAATAATAATTTGGCCACTCAGTCCACGACCGTTTGCGGGGACGCTGCCGTGTGCAATTGGCTGCCGCGTTTCACCCACAAAACACACAGTCGCTACACTTTACAGCGTATGCCGTGAAGCGCCTTGGGGCGTCTCGACCGCGAGGTAATAAGGCGCTATATGGAATGCAAGGATTATTATTATATGATTAAAACAGCGCTACAAATTTGGAGTTTTGTGATCAAGTGCAACGAAGGGGATAATTCCTCCGCGTTTTTGGCGCTGTGTAAGTTGTTAGCACGAGGTCAGCCACAGACAGTTGAGTCTGCTTTCGGATCAGACGTTTTTGTATATTTGGTATTCTCTGTAATTAAGGATTTACAAGGCTCGTTCCTTCCCCTGGTTTGCAATTTTGCATGAGGATATTTGTACCAAACTTTTCTTACAAAGTCACCAAGTCGGGCGGGGATTTCGACGCGATATCTCGTTTGCCAACTTCTTTGGTCTCTGAAACTGGAGTGGGTGGGTGTTTGGTGGGTGAGGGGGTGTTTGGTGGGTGAGGGGGTGTTTGTAGCACGTGTAACCATTATGCTACGGTATGTTTCGTCTGTACGCAGACCAAGGCTTCTGTTAACTCTCGAGAGCAGTGACGCCAACGTTTAGATTTGTCCGCCTGTAGGGGGAGAGGGTGATGTTCATAATATCCCAACGTAACGAAGCATTGTCCTTCTACCCCCTTCCTCTCCCTCACCCCCCACGCCCCCTCCACCCGTGTTAATAAACAGTGAAATGGCAGTAACTGTGTGGAACTACTGTGTGTGTTGTCTTTCCTCATTTTTTTATTAAAGACCTGTAGTGTAGTGGTCAGAGCGCTCGCCTCGCAAGTTTCCTTACTCCACACACACGCCTCTGTTTACCAGCCGTCAGTAGGAACCTGATTAGACGGTTGGCTGGATTGCTTTCCGGGGATAATAATCCCATCAAGAAAAAATTGGTCACTCAATCCATCACCACGTTTCACCCATAAAATACACACTTTACAGCGTATCCTGTGAAGCGCTTTGAGACGTCTCATCGACGTGATAAGGCGCTGTATCGAATGCGAGGATTATTATTAAAGAGGATGTGACCCGTCCTCTAGGTGGTCTTGGTAGTAAGCCGAGACCTCGGTGACCCAGGTCTTTTGTTGGGACTCGTAAACTGATTTAAAGTGCAGATTGCTTCGTGGTTGCATTTGGAAAACAGAAGCCACCTTCCATTTGATGTCGTGCCTTATCTCGTGGTCGAGACGTCTCAAAGCGCTCCACAGGATATATTGTAAAGCGGATTGACTGCGTATTTTTGGGGGTGAAAGTACACAAGTCAGTCCATTTCTGCACTTTAGGTAAATGGGACCGTATTTTGTGAACCAAATCTGGACACGGGCACGTTTATATGTGTATAAAAACTGAACTCACCACAGTGGCTGATGCTGGCAGTCGCTCAAGAGACGTGTGGGATTAACGGTTGTGTTTCTCTGACGAGCGTTGTCTGATTTACAATGTTATTGTTCTGACTCAGTTTGTTGCTGGACGCGACACAAGGCCAGTGTAGCCCCAGACACACATTACCTCATCCTGTAGCATTCAGGAATCCTGTTGGACAGGTTGGTCTGGTATTAATAGGAGGAGCAAGACCACGGAAGGCTTTAAAGGTGAGGACGGGGATCTTGAACTCGATCCTCTGATGGAGGTAGGGGGAGCCAGTGGAGCCGGGCGAGGGGTGGAGGTGATGGGAGTCACGGAGCTTATTGCGGGAGAGGACATGAGCTGCGGAGCTCTGAATAATCTGCAGCTTGTGCAGGGAAGAGTTGGGAAGTCCAGCGAGCAGGGAGTTAACCTAGTCAAGCCGGGACAGGATGAAACACTGGTCTTTCACCTGTAGAACCAGGGTCTCCATACAATCCTCCATACAAGTTGGTCATTCATCTCATGGCTGTTGGTGGAGCCTTCCTGTCACAAAACCGCTGCTGTGTTGGCCCACAAAAACAGTCACTACACCTAATGGTAACTCATCGTGGAGTGGCTTTGACGTGGTGCAGCGTCAAACAACCGAAATCCTTTCTTTCATTCAAAATGTCCTTCTGTGATCTTTGTGGAATCCCTCAAGACCCGATGAGCCAAAGCCCTAAAGTGGAGCGTTTATTACAGACAACACCTGTTCGGTTTGTCTCCACTCCATCCTCTCCCCTCTTTGCTGGAAAATTAGTGAGATTAGTCAACGGCTAAAGCTGGAACAAGGCGAAACATCAAGCGGAAATTAATCTTTCGCTCCAGCTGGGAAAAGGATTGAGGATTTAATCCATCATTTTGGTTGTGTGAGGAAACAAAGCACCTGAGCTGGTTACGCAATTAGCCACCTTTGTGTCCAGAGCCCGTGTGTGACATTTCACCCCCGTCCCCCGTCCCCCGCCCGTCAAATGGAATGCAAGGATTATTATTATATGATTAAAACAGCGCTACAAATTTGGAGTTTTGTGATCAAGTGCAACGAAGGGGATAATTCCTCCGCGTTTTTGGCGCTGTGTAAGTTGTTAGCACGAGGTCAGCCACAGACAGTTGAGTCTGCTTTCGGATCAGACGTTTTTGTATATTTGGTATTCTCTGTAATTAAGGATTTACAAGGCTCGTTCCTTCCCCTGGTTTGCAATTTTGCATGAGGATATTTGTACCAAACTTTTCTTACAAAGTCACCAAGTCGGGCGGGGATTTCGACGCGATATCTCGTTTGCCAACTTCTTTGGTCTCTGAAACTGGAGTGGGTGGGTGTTTGGTGGGTGAGGGGGTGTTTGGTGGGTGAGGGGGTGTTTGTAGCACGTGTAACCATTATGCTACGGTATGTTTCGTCTGTACGCAGACCAAGGCTTCTGTTAACTCTCGAGAGCAGTGACGCCAACGTTTAGATTTGTCCGCCTGTAGGGGGAGAGGGTGATGTTCATAATATCCCAACGTAACGAAGCATTGTCCTTCTACCCCCTTCCTCTCCCTCACCCCCCACGCCCCCTCCACCCGTGTTAATAAACAGTGAAATGGCAGTAACTGTGTGGAACTACTGTGTGTGTTGTCTTTCCTCATTTTTTTATTAAAGACCTGTAGTGTAGTGGTCAGAGCGCTCGCCTCGCAAGTTTCCTTACTCCACACACACGCCTCTGTTTACCAGCCGTCAGTAGGAACCTGATTAGACGGTTGGCTGGATTGCTTTCCGGGGATAATAATCCCATCAAGAAAAAATTGGTCACTCAATCCATCACCACGTTTCACCCATAAAATACACACTTTACAGCGTATCCTGTGAAGCGCTTTGAGACGTCTCATCGACGTGATAAGGCGCTGTATCGAATGCGAGGATTATTATTAAAGAGGATGTGACCCGTCCTCTAGGTGGTCTTGGTAGTAAGCCGAGACCTCGGTGACCCAGGTCTTTTGTTGGGACTCGTAAACTGATTTAAAGTGCAGATTGCTTCGTGGTTGCATTTGGAAAACAGAAGCCATTTGACG